CAGGTGCACAAAGCTTGGGAAATCATTCTTTACAGGAACAGGAACCTGCATCTACTGTACTAGATGTTGAGCAAAACATACAAGCTGAAGCATTCAAAATAGAAATGCCAGATATTGATCAGTTTTACCAGGAAGACAGACCAAATCAGTCAGAATTAACATTTGAAATTGAGAGTGCAGTTTCCCTCAATCCCACTTATAACCAGAAAAAACAAAGTACAGTGCATCAGCCAGAGAATACTCCCTTCAAAAGTAATGACACCATGCCAGCCGTCCCTGTATCAGCGGAAAAGGCTGTGTCTACCAGTCATGGTGACGTCAGGACAACGACGTTTGCAATTTCCTCACGGCTTTTGCAGCACAGAGGGACAAAAACGTGCATTACCAACCAAGGCTTTCGGCAGCACACTCAGGGAAACAGGCCTGCTCAGACGCTCGGCAAACAGAATACTCATGCACTCTTTTCCAATCAGCCACAAGCCGGCACTGAAAGCTTCACAAGTCCTCAGCTGAATTCCCGTGAAGATATCTTAGAGGACCCCAATGCAATGAGTAGCTCCACTCCAATGGATGAGCCACAAGCAAGGATACAGCTCGAAGGCCGTGGTCAAAATCTCCCACACATCCCCAGGCCTGCATCTAACAATACGCCAAACACCTACCCTGATGATGCTTCTGCCCAACAGTACCCCTACTCCTCGGCTCCCCAGCCCCACAGACTCTGTCCAGCAGGCCTGGTGACGCATGTCTGCGACGAGCAGGTGGTTGAGCTCCAACGAGAAGTCCTACAGGAGGAGAGAGACAAGATCCGGCTCGAGAAGGAGGTCTTGGAGATGCAGCGGGAGAAACTCAAACTGGAGATGATGTTTTTGCGACAGAAAGTTAATGGAGTGAGATGAAAGTTACCGGCATCACTCTGATTGCTTGTTATCACTAGAGGGAAAAATGTTTAGGTCTTGCACAAAATCAAGACAGGACTTGCAATGGGGGTAATTCACAATACACTGCACCTTCAAAAGGTTAATCAAGAAGAGGCCACTTTCTTCATTGCAACATCGGGTTTGACAATGTATACCAACAAGCTCATATTCCTTTGGGGAGTCTGCAGGATGAGCTTATGAGTTAGGATTTTTGGTGAAGTGAGTTCAAATTAACTGCAATGTGTAAAGAATTATTCCAGTTCCATGTCTTCATTTATTTTGCAAGACCCAGTTGGGAGAAACCTACTGGTGTGTGGTGGCTGTCTGAATCCTTTTTGCATAAAGAGGAAGGGAAGTAGGTAAATCAAAGGGGGCATCCATGAAAAATATCCAACATTGTCAAGAGCATACAAACTGGGAGAAGGGATTGGTTGCCATGAACGCTTTTCAAAATGCCCATTACACTGCAAAGAAGTCCTCCTTTTTCCCTTTTTCATGTTGTGTGTCTTGCAAGAAAATGAAAAAAAATAGATGACCCCTAAAGCAAAAGTAAAACTTCCTAAAAGTCCAACAGCCTTGTAGAGTGCGATACTTTGGCATCAATGCCAGCTTCACAACCAGTCACATTACTCATACCTTTGTTCTCATTTCCTGAAATTACATGTTAACAAGTTGAAGTGTCTACTCATAAATTCACAGCAAGGAAGTGGCGTGGCGTGGTGCGCCGCGAGCATTTACAGGTTGGTGTAAAACGTATAAGCATTGAGTACTATGGTAGTTCCTAGCAACGCTGCAGACATCCGCATTCCACATCGACTGGAAGTTGAACCAACATCTACAAATGCATTACTTGCCCCGAATATCACATGGTTGTCTTGACAATTTGCAAAAACAAAAAAACATAAAGGTTTCTATGCTCGGCTTTTAGCTGTTTGCCTGAACGTACATTTCTGTACTTGAGCAATGTTATTGGCCCGTAGAGTATTAGAATTCCCATGTCCGTGGATGTTATATTTCCTTCAATTCAGAGTAGACTCCTGTTAAAACATTGCTGAGTTACAATGATAAGCCCTTAACAAGTGTGCTATTAATGGCATGTACACGTACATGTACAGCGTAGTCTGCATTATTGAACTTCGATCAAAGTGAATCAACAGTGCGGCGTTCTTACAGACAAATGTAACAGGTTACAAAATATGTGCTTGTTCTAGCTTGAAGTCAACCCCACCTACTAAACCCACAGAATTTCACTGTGCATTTGATATCATTGAAAAAAATTGCAACAAATTAAATATTCAGTGCAGAGAAGACAAGGTACCATTTCCTGTGTTGTAGAGACCATTTTTATCTGTGAAGTGCAGAAGCTACATGTATACAATAAAATTCAATGTACATGTACATGATAGCATGTATAATTGATTGCTAAGCCAGTAAATGTGTTCTATTTTTTGTAGGTGGCTGCATATATATACATTACTCCTTGACCATGTTTCATAATTGAAATTGACATGATTATTGTTAGAAGTCTCCTTTTAGCTTGAATACGTTTTAATTTTGTTATTTTTCACTTGGTTTTAATTTGTTTAGAAGGATAATGAGGTTGTACAATTTACATGTATATGTGTGCTGCTGCCCACTGGTATTGCTGGTCAAAATGCTGTTGTGTTTTAATGTTAACACTGGTAGCACTGATGAAAATAAATGCTAAGATGAGAATGTATGTACATGTACATGTAGATCCTCAGTCAAAAGCCAAATTCCACCCCAATTGGTGAAATGAGAAATGTGGACAGTGGGATGCCCTCCATGTGTACTGTAAACAATTCTAATAAACTTTGTGTTTGTCTCAGAAAAATGTCCACAACTTACCAATCAAGTTTCAAATCTCGAGAACTTGGCATTTTCTGTGGTTGATGCGTGGTATCGGGTGTGATTTTGGTAATGCACATCATTTAAAAGAAAAAAAAGCTCACTTTTTAATTGACAGATTCAGGAAGGAATAAGGATTACAATGATTAAAAATGACCGTTCATTTCCAACTTCAATTTCAAATGAGATAGTGGGCAATTAGGATAAATGTATACACTGTACATGCCTTTCCATCTATAAAGATACCTTCCGTGTAGATAAAACTGAGATAAAACTGCCCCTTCATCAAGGGGCAGTTTTATCTCAGTGAGTGGGCAATTTTCAGATAAAAAGCCTCTCCTCAGATTATCAGGTTTGTACAGGTATTTTATATTTGCACTTCAAACGGTGAATATTATTGGGCCGAATATTTCAATATGTAAGAATTTTAAGCGCAAATTTGTATCATTTTTATGTATTCCAAGTGTAATGTCAATTGAAGGATTTTGACGATCAGCTCAAATAGTTTGTTAATGTTTTAGTCATTCCATGAACATGTACGTGCCCTTCTTGATTAAGAAACTGGATTGTTTCACAACATGATGGGTGTAAGCCGAAACCCTAATTCCCACAATTTACTTTGATGAGGACTGTACCGACTGCATTAAAAGCAGATGCATAGAAACGGAATGTATGAATCACTGGAGTGTATTTTAAAAGAAATAATAGAAGTGTGAATTTCGAGATGATACTCTTGTCAGTTTGCTATCAAGACTGGTACTGTGGCGAAAGTCTCTGATCGTCTCCATGTGTTTCAACGATGAATCCCCACGTAAGTTACCAATACTCGAATTAAACCAGCTGCGCCCTGGAAACGAACGATCCACAACCAGATTTTCGGGAGGAGTATTCTCTCGGAGGTACATAAAATGTGAGGATGTTTAGAAATCTTTATGTCTTTTCTGTGGTTAGGGTTAATTGGTTGGCCCTTTTAGACACTTTGAAACTCAGGAAGGGAAATTAAAAGCAGAAAGATGCATCCGTCAACCCGCACCTACCAACGACTCCCCCTCCGCCACTCGAGCATATAAAAACAGGATTACTGTTGCCTCGATGATGCAAGCATTCTCAGCAACTTCCACGCCGTAGTTTTGACCAAAATGCACTCGATATTTCTTTGAAACGATATCAGTTCATGCGATATGGCGTTTGGTGTGTGTGTGTGTTTACGTGGGTGCCCTCATGGGAGGTATGTTTTCGATTGTATAGAGAATGATTCGCCTAGCCTACAAAAGTATACAAAAATGGATAACGCGCCTCAAAATAACCTGAGCGCTATGCAATGCGTATTATTAATTGTCATAAGTTTTTGACGCGTCCATGGATCTATTGTTCTCTTGCCAAACTTTGGCAGCACCCGAATCTGTTGTCTAGGGCGGTTTTCCAATACTCAACTTCGTCTCCGTCTCAGGCTTCTTTCCCAAAACCAATCCCCGATTGTGGGCCTGAAGCGTTTAAATTACATTGGATTACTGTAATTTTTGGCTTTCTTGCATCTTGTTTGATGTTCTGTGGCACTATTAGACTGATTACTGCATTTACAGCTTCAAAGTCAGCTAGTAAAAAAGTTGAAGCCTGAGACGAAGCAGAAGTTGAGTATTTGAAAACGGCCTAGAGCTACATGCTACGTGCAGAAAATAGACAGCCGTAGCTCTGAAATCCCGTTTCGGACACGGCCTTTGTTTGCGTTCAGTGTTCAAGAATCCACGTGCCACTTTGGACCAGTCGGGATAGCGCACAGTTCCACGCGCAGACGTATCCAGTTGGGAAGTGACTTCGTCACAAAGGTGGACGCGCCACGACTTGCAGGCTCCCATTGGACGATCGCTGAAGTTGCGCGTTAACTTCCGGTTCCATGGTTAGAATACCAAAGTGAATACGTCACGCGCACATTTAGTGTGTGAAAGGCATTGAGTGCGTGAACCAGCGCGTGAACCAACACGCGCGCGTACTCCATTCGTTTGCACTGCACTTTCTAGTTCACAGTGACGTCGCACTTCGGTACACATGACAACTCTACGTGCAGTGCATGTGCAGTGGGCGCGCGTGGTTTAAACTGAACTGACGTCACATTTTCGAACTTGATAGTTGCAATTGTTGGTTTCATCACAATGAATTTTTTTGTTGCCAATAATAACCAAACAAAACAAACTCATTTTCCGATCCATACAGGCACCGTACCACTGGCTGTCTTGTTCAGTTGGTCTGAAGATAAACGTGACGTGGCGTTATCGGAAAATACACAGGATGGCTGCTTACCCGGGAGAAGGGAATAAGATGTCCAATTATGGATTAAAAGTCCCGACGCCAGAAGAATTAAAACTACTCTGGGAGGAAATAGTCGGGGTAAGCTAGCAAAAGTAGTGAAGAGAATGCAAATAAAAGTTGGAAAACTTGGGTTTTGCAGGGAATAGCCTGTGGCTTTTGAAACTGCTAATTCAACACTGCAAAAAAGTATGATGCAGTTTGCAAACTCAATATCAAGCAGCCCCATAATAAATGCATTAACAGGGTAACGGAACTGAACTTCAGTATTGCTTCTGTGTTACTACACCACAAAGATGGTAATAACTTTTGAACGTAATTTTCAGCCCTTAATGGGTTCGTCGATTTCCGCATGTTGATTTTATAATAATTTCACTCAGTTTTAAATCTTAATACGTTGTCCTCTGATGTATGTTTTGTCCAAATACATGATGATGCACATAAAACATTCAACATTTACCTCAGCAGTTTTATCTACGAATCTGGCTTTTGCTGTACGTCAAGAATAGCAGATGGAATTTGACTTTGAAGGTCAAAGCATTCTCACTTAGCCTGCATTTTGCTCACTTTAAATGGTTTCCTTCAGCGAGAACGTAGAATCCGCGCCAATCACTTGGCGACTAAAGGGGCAGGGTCGGGTGAACATTGGCCGGGAGTTAAAGGTCTAGAACCAACAGAGGAACAGATGAAAACCAAGTTCACTTACTTCAACAACAACAAAGAGGTTAGCAAATAGTCCCCTTAATTCCTCCAAGTCAGTGACTTTAATCGAACTATGTACAGCTAACGAACTAACTGGGCCATTACTGTATTATTCAAAGTTTGAATTGGAAACCAAGAGGTGTGATTAGTGTTTTACTGTGTGGGAAGAGCTTGCCGAAAAATGCTCTTTACAGAAATACCTTTCACCGTGATTCCAACTTGTTTGAATGTTTAATTTGAAACAAATTTTCAAACTGGTTGGTCCTCAAGTTCAATTGATGCCAGTGTCAAGTTGTTGGATCGATCACTGATGATGTGGATTTGGAGCCCCTGTCGGTTAAATTTGAAACAATAGTAATAATAATTTGAATCTGGTAACATATTTTGCAGTTTAGCCCCAATTCCACATACGATCGTCTATTCCACGTGAAGGAAGGCTACGAGAGTAAATTACACAGGGATGATCGTGAGCATACAATTGGACTAAATGTAAACGAAGAGGTAAGACTTGGTTGATGTCTGCGTGGCGAATTTCGCCTTTTTTCATCTCAGGCAGTGGTGTAACGGGGGAAGGGGGCAGACATCCTTACTCTACTGGTGGCTTCCCCCCATTTAAAATCTTAGAATGAACACATTAAACGTACCACGTACAAGCCATATTTCATGTCCTATCAATGTACATGTGCTTTACCCCTCAAAAAGGTGGTGCACACTCTGGATGCCAATTATGCAACCAGGCGCGGTCCTCCCCCAACTTTTGCCTAGGCCCCTCCCCGATGAAAAATGCAAAACAATTGCAAGAGAAGCACCGAAAGTTAAAAGGAGACGTGACGTGCAAAGGGTGTAGCCCCCCCCCTCTTCGAATAGCACTAGAACCGCTCCTGTAGCCCCCCCTCTTCGAATAGCACTAGAAACGCTCCTAGGAGCGGTTCTAGTGCTATTCGAAGAGGGGGGGGGGCTACACCCTTTAGGATCCTACGTATGCCACTGATTCCCGGATTTGGAAAAAGACATGTGCAAACAAGGGAGTACATGTACAAGCAAGGGACTGAGACTTATCGAGGAAAGTGGTTCTAACAGCAAGATAACAGATTGGAATTCAATGCAACTCGTGATTTGCATGACCAACACCCCCCCCCCCGCAGAGCCTCAAAGGTGGATTGCCGAATTTTCCCATATTCTGCGGGCAAAATTTCGATTTTTGTGCTGACGAAAATACGGAGACAAGATTTCTTGGGGGTGTGTAATAATGCGGTACAGTTTGGGGGGCAGTTTGTTGCTCATTGGTTTTACGGATTGAGTAAGGTACTGACAAGCTCATGGGATTTGTACAAGTTTAGTAATAGAAGCATGGCATAGATACTAACAATTTTCAATGCATTTTCAACATAAGATGAAGCAGGTGTACTGACTACATTTGTCGAACAAAAACACTTGAGATTTAATTTCAGGGACAGATCTTACCGTTCGCTGCAATCTGTTCAGAGCTACAGTAGAGCAGAAATTAACACGAACATACTAACTATATACACGTATACATGTACATGGTCATGATGAGTTTCCGGGCTCTTTTCTTCAGCCAAGTGAATCGATCGAGGGGTTGCAGTTTTGTCGTCAAAATATCAAGGACACGACGGAGGTCATGCGATCCGATCCGGTCTGCCTCGTCTGTAGAGCCCCATGCCTGGCATGCGTGGTAATTTAGTAGGGCCCCGTTACCAAAGCTTAATCCGATCACTGCAGTTGCCATGCTTGCATCAAGTACTTTCCGTTTCAGCATTCACAAGTGATGAGATGAGTGATAATCTGACAGATGTAGTTTCGTGGTCGTTTGCCACAAGCAGCACGGTTACTGATGAATGCTGATTTTGACAAGATTTGGCACATTTATGGATCCGGCATGGAAGAGTGAAGTACATGTACCTTGTACATTAATGATCATTCGTTGTGTTTCTTGGTTTAAAAATATTTTCTGTCATAAATGAGTGAAGTGCTTTGCATGTAGGATTTGATTTGAAGTTGAAACTATTCAAAGTCACAGTGACTTCAGCATGTCCAGAAACAAATATTCTGTACGTTCTGCTTTCCGAGCAAGTAACATTGCACGTACCCCACGTAAGCCAAATTGGTCAGAGGTGGAATGCGAGTACCTGCTCCAGGAAATCCAGAAGAATTTGCCAATGATACGGAGCCGCAAGCCCAACTGCAAGTGGTCCAGCAAGTCTGCCAAGGCGGACATGTGGAACCGGATGTGTGCGGGACTTCACATGAAACGGCCCACCGTCATGAGATCGGTGGCCGACCTGAAGGACAAGTGGAAGAAGCTGCAGTTTATGGCCAAGCAGTACATCAGCCAAATCCGGGTCAACAGCATGACCAACCGCACCCCAGATGGCCTCATTGTCATACCCAAACTTGTGTACCGAGTCTTGGAGGTGCGAGGGCAGGACCCCAAAAAGTTAGGATTTCGCAGCGCAGTGTGGGCGTATGACTATGAAATGAGAACAGACAACACTAGTGCAGGAACACTGAATTCAGGAAGCAGTTCTTCAATGGAACAGGAGGCCGCATCTGCCATGCAGAATCTAGAGCAGAACAGTCAAGGTGAACCATTCAATGAGGAAATACTAGATGATGATCAGTGGTACCAGGAAAACAGTCCGAATCAGTCAGAATTAACGCTGCAGATCGAGAGTGCAGTTTCCCTTAATCCCGCTTACAACCAGGCTGGGCAAAGTGCATTGTGTCATTCAAAAGGTTCTTCCAGCACAAGTAGTGATACCATACCAACAGTCCCTGTATCACTTGAGAGAGCCGTGTCTTCCAGTCAGGCTGACATCAGGACAACATCATATTCAATTTCCTCTCGGCTTTTGCATCAACGAGAGACAAAAATGTCCGCCACTAAGCGCAGTTTTAAGCACCGCATTCAGGCAAACAAGCTTCAGTCACAAAGCAGATCACCTCCTCATGCATCGTTGGACAGTCAGCTTCACGGTTGCAGTCAGGGGCCACTAAGCTCACAACCAAGGTTCCCCCAAGACAGCCGGGGGGATCCTACATGTAATTCAGTGAGCAGTGAGCCTGACCACTCCTTCTCTCCTTTGGACGAGCCACAAGCAAGCGTGCACCTGGAGGCTGACGACCAACCCTTACCCCTTGACCCTGGGTCCAAGGCTCGGGATTCCCCACACATCTCGGCACCTCAATCCAGGAGGCTCTGCCCAGCAGGCCTGATGACACACATCTGCGACGAGCAGGTGGTTGAGCTCCAACGAGAAGTTCTGCAGGAGGAGAGAGACAAGATCCGGCTCGAGAAGGAGGTCTTGGAGATGCAGCGGGAGAAACTCAAACTGGAGATGATGTTTTTGCGACAGAAAGTTAATGGATCACGATGAGATGATAGCAGGCATGTCTGCACTTCCAGTATTTGCTGTCTGTGGGCTATCTGTATTCGAATATGTGCACAAATACCCTACTAGCAATTAACTGGTTTATTTGTAATTGTTTAAGTTTACAAAATAACCAAGTACATGTGCATTTGCATAAAAAAAACATGTGACCGGCCTATGCCAGATAATCTGTAGCAACAGGTGCACTGATTTTTTGGGGAAAGCAAAGTTTAAGAAGGGAATAAATATGTGCTTAGCCAGACTTAAATGCCAGTTGAAGACTGTGTTAAAAGAATATTTGTCGCTAATGCCCAAGTTGTAGATGAGGGCATCATCAGCGTCTATTATCCCGGGCCGGTCTTTAAAATTAGTGCAAGACAGGCTAATGTAAGCACACACTTGGTACATGTATTTATTTTTGTTCTCTATTATTCTATTTATTTCTATTTTGAGTCAAAACAAACTGAACAATGAGAGATTTCCAACAATGTTGTTTTAACAATTTTACTTCATTTTGTAAAAACCCATCTTGTCATATTATGGTATGTTCCTCTCACATGGAGTTGTAAGCAACCTCCTTATACGGTGATTGGCATGCATGTGGTGCGTACTGTATTAGGTGACGCAGACAGCCAGTGCTTTATCAACTGTTTAAGACCAATCACGTGACAGGCTTTGACCAATAGGAACGGCTAAATTGTCTTGGGTATTTTTGACTAAGCAACATTTATGCTTTGCCATTCCTACATAAGATTTATCCATGCCTAGGATTTCTGAGGCCTTCTCTCATCTTTACTGCTAAGCAGGGTGTTTATTTCAGAAAGGTACGAAAACAAAATGTACTTGTAATAGACCCACCACATAATGATGTCATGCCTGTGGGGACTGCCATACATAAAGGTTATATGAAAACAGCAGGAAAATTACCCCCCCCTGAAAATACCAGAAGTTTGAGATCCCCACAGCAGTGTAACAACTATGGTATACATTTGTGTTGGCCTATAGGCATCCCTTCACGTACCCATTTCGTGTGCTCTGTCAACCTACATTCTTTGATTTAACTTGGGATCTTGCAGATTTTAAAGAGATTGTGTGAGAAACCTTAAAAGGAGGACAATCCCAGTGAAGAAAAGTCCTGAAATCAGGAAAAATCCTGATAAATCTCTCCCCTGCATAGGCCTAATTGCTTAGCCTCCACCTAATGTCAGATTTCCCATTGCTGTCAAGTGGTAATAAGCAATTTTTATGCTTGTTCATTTGCAACCTGTCCTCAAGATCTATCCAGATCTCTTAACTAGGCATGTACATATTTTCAACTGCTATAGTGGTGTTTCCTCCACTATTAATTTCAGATTTTAGTTGTCATTTGTCGCTTAGAGTGTATTGTTCAGACAGAGTAGGACATTTCACTGAGGGCACAGATATTAGAAAAGAATAGCATAATGAGAGGACAGTGCAGTAGGTCCTCAATAAGAATATCATACAGATCCAAAGAGATGGGAGACAAGGACCGAGTTCGGGCGGCTTGTTCCCTTATGTTCACGATCAGCTCGATTTGTTGTTCGTGGGTCAGCTGCTCAAACGCCGGGAACAAACAACCGGTTATCGCTGGTAGTTAGTGACAAGCAACATGCAACGTGGCAGCGTCCAAGTAGGCTACATTATTCGAGAGTTAATGTTTGGATGGGCGAAATTCTTTTCTATATAAACAGGAACATTTTGCAAAACTTCCCATTGTCTATGGCTTTGGAAGCCATCTCTCTACTTTTGCAGCTGTTCAAAAATCAAAATCTCACGAGTTTTTCCGTGTATTCCGGTAAAACCCTGACGAGGAGGTGGTGTGGGATCCTATTCCGAGAACAGTGTTCTTGAGTCGTGTTCCCGCCATTCGAGCACGAGAACAAGAAACCTGTGTCAAGAACAGGCCACCCGAACTCAACCAACGACAGTGACGGGTCTTTGTATTCTGTTTATTACTAAGACTGTGTACAGTGCGGATGAGTGTAATATGTAGTTTAGTGTTTGAAGGCAGGTCAAGAAATAGTCAACTTCCAGAGTTTGCCAATGGCCATGTTTGCGTTGTTTTGGCTAGTCTAGGACTGTATTTTCATAAGTCCTTCTATCGTTTCTTCAGGAGTCACAAAAGGCAATCCCTGTCCTGAGTTCTTCGGCCTATGGCCATCGCCCAATTCTGGAAGCCCCGTGCCGGGAGCACGCACGAATTGAGAGGGTCATGAAAGGATTCTACCGGACCAGGGGCACAAACCTTCCCGAATACGGCTCTGAAAATTAAACAGAAATTTTCTACCAAAAGAAGCAATTCACACTACACTGTGCTACCAAGAATTTTCTGCCGAGACGACATTACACAGAATAATTGGAAGTACATGTAGTCAGCATCCACATGCTAAAGGCTTTGCCATTTGAATAAGTACACACGCACTTCCCTTGGAATTGCTTCTTACATGTATCTGATAAGTTCAAAATTGGGGGGGGGGAACATAAGTTTCTCTCCACAAGTAAACTGATGTTCACCTTTGTGAATTTGGTTGTCTTTAATGTCACATTGCAAGTTTAAAGCGATACATGTACATGTACTTATTACTGGTTTTTATCCCCCTGGTATTTGTTAGACTGCACCTTTTATAATTTTGATCAAAAACAGGCAGTCATCCATGTATGTGTATATTCTGTACTTACGAAGTGTTTTCGAAGGAGACAAGTCCTAAAGTCTTCTCATTTGACGTACATGTATTATGACTTGTGCAATGTAACAGCAAGCTTGTAACTCTAATTTGAAATTTGTTGGCATTTTCAAGAAATGATTCTTTCATAATTAGAAGCAACAAATAAGCCAACATGCTGTGTTAATTGAATGTTATGGCCACTGTAAATTGGTTAATGTACATGACAATCTTTATTTCAAGCACTCCACGTCTAAGGAAGTGTGGAACATTATTTCATATGTATATACAATTCATATTTTGAGCAGCCTTTCAGACGAAAACAAAATGAAGGCTCTGTTTTTAAATACACATAGCTTTTTACTGTTGTAGCCATGCTGTTCTTATAAAGTTTTATTTGGTCGATCTGATTGGACGATTCAAATGTTTCTTGCCTAATAATTGTACCAAGGTGCAACTGCTGAAGGAATCGGAATATGGATAGAATTCATAGACCTGAACAAATGAAACACGGTTGTCTTGAAATCTTGAATATTTTATGGACACTGGACCTTCAGAACGTTTTGTATCTCAGCTCTGACAAAACTTTTCAGTTCTGCCAAAACTGGGACAAAAGCAGAATTGTGCATTATGTGAAAGCATGACCAAATAATATTCATGGACCATGTGCAAATATCAAAAGCCCTTTATGTATTATTTTGTGGACTTCACCTGTATCAAAAAAATATTCAATATTCATTGCTGTATTTATTTCTAGAAATAAAACGTTACCTTCATGTTTTCTTATGCCTTTTTGTTCAAGAACTCAACAGAGGTTATGATTAAAGAGAAAACCTTCAGTTGGAGTGAAGATGGGAACATTAAAAAAATACCCTTAAACATTCGACTGGAGAAACTTTTGACTGACTGTTCTGGTACTGTTGCTTAAACCTTCCCTGATCATCCAAAATCCACCAGTGGTGCAAGAAACCAAGTGTAAAACGTTGGTACTTGTGCTTTAAAAGGGTTACATGCGAGTATTATGCTCAATGTCACGTAAAGGCCTGGGCTCTGCCTTTCTCATTCTTGCCAAATTGTCCCGTTGGAATTTCAAGGATGTGGGCGGGTTAGAGTTGATGCTTGTTTCGAGATGATGCCCCTTAGATAACAGAATCAAACAACGTACATTACTGTGCCCTGGGCTACTGGCAAAAACTACACGTTAACCACATTTCTGGAAATTGAGATTTTAGGAAAAACACTAAAGTGAATTATCACCTGCTGACCAGTCTTCCTGCCTGAGAAGAAAATTGCAAGCATGTCTAGGGACACCTCCATGTACGTGTAGTAACATAAAGTGATACATTGAGCAGTCCGTTTCTGTTGAGTACAAACTGCAGGCTTGTCGGACGTGTTCCGCTCACACGCCCTGTTTTGTCCTTTTTTGTAGCTGTACGATAACTATTGTGGGGAACCACACAAGTTGCTCTGAAAATGAGTAATAAGGCCATTTTTCTTTTCAATAAATTTGGTTCAATTTGCATTGGAAAGAGCAAGCAGCTTCATGAAAATAGTGTCTCTGTGTGGGTGAAGAAATATTGACAGTTCCAATTACTTTACATGGTGCAAGATTTTCTTGAAGGCCTGTTACTCAAAACTTGCTCTGGTGACTTACGACTTGGTTCTCGGAGCAGGTCGGTGTACCCACAACATGGTCCAGATTTTGTAAGTGAAAGAAATATTCCCTCAGCATGGTGCCAACAAGGGCGGTCATTAGGAAATAAGGCCCGATACTCGGTGCCAAGTGACAATGTTGTTAGAGCTTAGAACCTGCATTAGCTGTGCAAGTTACCTGGAAAAAATGCCTGGTGATTATACACTGTATTGCTTGCCACTAGTTTACCAACTGTTTTTCTTTCTGATAAGGGCCAACTCGGTGATTTGGTTATGATATGGAGACTGTAGATGGTGTAGTTGAATAAGCCATGACAGCCTGTGACATCACAAATTCATGTTGATTTGCATATCCAGTGGTACAGAGGGCACCTGACTACTTTTCAGCAGAATGTCCACAAAGCACATCTGTGCGTAATTCCAGATATGCCTGGAGTCTTCCTTTCTCACATGGAGACATCTTGTAGCTACTCAACTGTTTCTTAGTCGAGTTTGAGAGATCGTAGATAAGCAGGCTTGCAAAATGTGTGTGGTGGTCTGCACAGACCAACAATGGCCGCAGTTTTAAGCTCTCTAGGCACAATTGGCCACAGGCATGCCCATGACAGCAAAGGCCTCTCCCTGCATCAAATGTCTATAGCTTTCATAGTTTAGGGTGCTTGGGTTCACCTTCACCAGTTGGTAGTCTTCCCAGAAGCCCTGCCCAAGCCTTCTCCACCTGAGATAACAGTCAAATATAGAGAAAGGTTGGATGTCAGTATAACTGCAAATTAAATATGATGGTAAATATACATGTCCTTTGGGTAGGGTTCCGGGGAGAACGACTGAATTCAAGCCCCATTTACACTTAAGAATTTGCTGCACTGAAAAACCTGTTGGGTATGAATACAGCTTCATTGTGAAATTGTGATTCAAACAGCAAAGAAATGGAAACGCATCATTCTGAATACCCCGGTAACAAAATAACTGACAAATACAAAAGCCGTCATAGACAATGTCACACTGGTAGAAAGCCGTGACACAAGATGCAAAGCTCTAACCCAGATAAACTCCAAAGGTTTCTTCTTTTTTCAAGCTGCCGATGTTATGCTGTACAACTAGAAATCAAAGTTTCCAATCATTGCTTCGTGGGAGAAAAAGCAGAGCCATCTAAGAAGCAGCAGCAAATAAGCCTGGCGGCCATTTCCAAACGTTTTAGCCTCCTAATTAATTGACAAAAGTGGCACCAACTTCTGATGAAGCTTTTGTTTGACCAGTACCTGTTTCTGGGTGACCTCTGGTTCCCAGAAGGTGCACAGGACCACATTGGACCTGTCTACGCGCTCCTGGTTACTGAGCTGTGACTCTATTCGCTGTCGAGCCTTCTCCTCTGGCAGGCGATCTCTGTCCAGAATACGCTTCAGAGCCTGACATCAAGACATCAGAAAAAAAAGGCAACAAAATGGACCAACCTCGAAACAAACTGAGAGCTTACAAAGTGGAAGGTATGAAACACTGAATCTGAATGAGGAAATAAATGAAATCCATCTAAACACTTTACAGTACAATTTTCATAACATTCTTAGCATTTATGCATGTCATTAGCCCATTCCAAAGACAACCTAGCTTGGTCATTCCTTGAGGTTGGGGCACAATTTGCGACAGTGTCCATTGTTACGTGCGTGAACAGCTATTTCTCTGCAAGGCTAAATACAGAGGTGTGTCTGTTATTTTTACAGAGTAAACGACCTACTCTACAGGTCATGACCGGTGGTAAAAGAAAACTTAACAATTCATTTTGCTAAATTAGAACTACACAGGCAAAGGGACTTGGTAATGTTGAAGCAACTGACAACTGTGGTGAAGATTCTACTCGAAGATGGTGCGGCCAACTTCATCCCATGCACGATGCTGTGATTTTACTGTCATGAATAATACATGAGACCAGCATCATGAATAGAGGCGTGTCTCACCTCGTCCTGATGAATAATGCAGGACCACACCTCATGGCAGAACTCATCCCAGCCAGCCTCTAGCAGCACAGCTGCGTCCAGAACGCATACCAAGCAGCCCCCCGCCCCCAGGGCTCTCAGCTCCTCCCACGCCATGCTGGCAATCTCCAGCCAGATTATCTGGTTCAGCCGGTCCAGGCGCGACCGGTCTTGGAAGACTTTGGCCCCTAGGGCACGTCGGTTGATGCTGCCATCTGATCCGACAACATCTGTAGCAAATCCACCCAACCCCCCAAAACAAAGCCAAAAAATCATTCTCTTTCTGCACGATACCACATACTCAGTGTTTCAGGTGGATAGGTGATTAGCTGTCTGTGGTAACAGGTGGTAATAAACCGAGTCGAACCTGAGGAAAAACCAGTTTACCATCTTTTCAAATGGAACTAGTCCGACCATCTTCCCAAAACAAGCTACTAAATAGTTAAAATATATCCAATGGAAATTTATCCCTCTACATTCGGCAAACCTCCCCTCCTTAGTAATGCCAGAAGCACACGTTGCGATCTGTTTCTCAGAACAACTATTAACCACTTGCTGCCGGGTGGTTTGAAAAATGCAGTGCACACACACGGGACATTTTCAAGATTTTCAGTTTTCAAAATTCTTCAAAAATTTATCATTTCAATTAACGGATGTTTACACCCACAAGAATGACTGTCTGGTGGCTACTCTAATCTGACAGACAAAATCTACTGACACCTGAGTATTTCAGCCAGGCCTGTAGCCTTGTAAAAAGAGCCCAGATTGTGGTGTGTTATGTAGCGTTCTTTTGTTCACGAACCTGGCTCAGTGTGCTGCTGACCTCTTTCCAATAAGGGGCCAGATTAGCGTGCAGCAGTGCTGTGTGGCTTATTGCTGCAGTGGTGGAGCGCTTTTGTCCCCAGTGGTAATCCGCTCGCTCTAAATGCCCCAAGTGGTATACTGTTTCAAACAAGGCTGGATCCACTACTGAGAGTGAAAAAATGTTGGTAATGCCCAGCAACCTGGTCTTTTGTTACAAGTATGGTCTTCTGTTACAAGGCCCAGTTCCTTTTGTCTGATTTCGTAGATCCCGGCCATGTGTATAAAGAATACGTGTCCGGTACTGGCAACCTCAGCGGCAAGTGGTTTAGGCTCAGGTTTTTTATGAGAGCTGGCAAATTACATCTGTTCCTAATGTATGGATTCAACCATAACATTACACAAGAAGCATACAGCCCACTGACAAAGAGGTTTGTAGCCCTCTCTTTTTCCCGTAATACCTAATGGAAATAAATGTATTTCAGCCCCCACCTTGTCCAAACTCTGCCACTACCCTCCTGAAGCCCTGGGTGCCCGGTAGGTAGGCTTTATGACCCAGCTTATCACAGTCGATAACCGCCGCACCCTGTCCTTCCAGCCGCTTGCAGACTGCCGACTTGCCGCTGGCTATGCCGCCAGTCAGACCAATCACGTACGGGGTGTCGGACAGGCCTTTCTTCTAAAGGGAAATTTTAGGAGAAAGTGGCAGAGAATAAAGCCTGGCCTTGGTTCTCACCAAGTCCCGACACTGTCGACCAACAGATAAATTTGATGAGGCACCATTAATATGGTGACACCAACGTCACATGGCTCATGTCCATGTTCAGTATCAAATCAGGGGAGACGGGGCAACAACCGGCAAGCAACCCCCCCTACCTCTTTTTTTGATTCACAGGAGACAAACGTTGCTCAGCAACAATGTACCAGAGTTTCAGGACTGTCACTGGGGTGAGAAATTGTTTCATACATCTTGAAAAGGTCTGCTTTCATAAGTCCAATGATTTCATTGTGGTAGTGTTTCATCTAGTCACCTGCCCACCTGTCCTGAGGACAGGCAGAAGCAAATTTGGACAGGCTATTTTTTTTCTCTTTGACAATTTACAAATAAATCTTTAAACTCTCAAACATCGTCCAAAATACTGGATGCATATGGCCTCAGATAGCACCAAGGTTGTCAGTTTCAAAAATATTTCCTGGGAGAGGACAGGCAGATATTTCAGTCCCACATAAAACCCTGGATAGTGGTGTCTTGTCATAAAAGTCTGTATTTTTGGCTCAAAATAATATCACTCCTGGCACTACGTTTCTGTGTAGCTCTAAATGACTGGATTCAAACCTACAGTCTTCCCATGGGATCTCGAACTCAAGGCACCAGACCTCAAAGCATCAAATCGTTCCACTCAAGGTTCCTCTAGCTTCTTTCAACTCACCACAGGTTCCTTGAGCAGTGTTCCCAGCAGTCGCATCCTCTGTGATGAGGAACTTATCTTGGCTTCTTCGTGAGCAGCGTGCTTGATGTCCTCAACAAGAGGTATCTCATGTATGTCTAACACACACAGGCCCTGGACACAAAAAGGAGAGAGTACATCATCTGATTGTTAGGCTGTTAATCACACCGACTTAATAAATGGCATAATCTAGTGTGACCATTAAATTTTTTTTGTAGGAGCCTTTGTTCCACAGGGATAGACCCGAGCACACTGTTTGTGCTATCCCTCTGTGACAAAAGCAGTCACCCAAAAGATGGCTACCGTCTCCATATCCCGTCAAATATATATATGAACAATGGGCATGCCCAGTGGGTACCTACAGACAGACAGAATTTCAGTCTCAACTCAGAATGTGAAATCTTGTGTTATACTTTTACCCTAAGCCGAGAAAATAAAATGGCTACTTGTAGTCAGAGAAGATATATTCAGGCTTGAAGAAAACAAATCATGTATGTTTCACTTTCATGCCATGGAAAGCATGATTCATGTGGCGACAGATTCTATGTTACATGTACATTCCACTCTGCTTTGCGTCTTGAAATAGAACATTTATTCTGTCACCTCATAAAATCATTCTAGCCACCGCACTTGCGCACTTTCATTAAGAGTATACTGTAATATAAGGCTGTGATCTTACAAAAACTGGCTTAATCATTTCACCTTTTCCTGTCTGTTCTTGTTCACCGCATCACCTCCTCTCTTGGTTTCCTCGCTGACCACAATGCACCTCATCTCCGGATCCACGATGCTGGGGCCGTAAGGGTCCGAGATGGGCACAACGGAGTCCGGCTGTAGGATGTGGGGTTTGACGTCACGGATGAAGTCGCAGACAGATGCAATGCGAGCGTCCAAGGGCTGGATCAACTCTGGCAGTGTTTTCCCTATAAACCAACCAATTGTGCAAACACACACAAAAAATAAAGAAATAGATTTATCAGGCCTTAATACACCTAATGGACTGAGTTCCCCAAATGTGTGCTCATCAGGTATTTTCATAGACATATGAATATATTAGATTACCAGGGCACTAATTTCTCATTCTCTGCGTGGAGAAAATTTGATGCCATCCCAAAGTCACAGCAAAATCTATCAGCAGTGCATACGCGTGTGCATATGCATTGTCTAATCAGAGCAAATGAAAGAAATGCTCACTCTGATTGGGCATTTTAGTTTCTGTGTATCGGCTTTGTTGACACATTTTAGAGTACGGACACAGATATACATATAGCCGTGCAAAAGCCGTAAAATATTTCAAGTTTTCCTTAGGTTTGTGCACCAATACAGATGCGCCCAGCACGCATCACTTTGTAAGCGGGTCGGCGCTCTAGTTTTTCTATACACATGTTGCTCTATGGGTATATTAGCAGAAAACCTTTGTTCTTACGGTTAAGCATAGACCTGTCTGTCACTCCAACTGTTATCTTCTCTTCTGCCCTTATGGCCGATTCGCTGAGTAGGATTTTATGTCCAATGTGAATACAGTCAAACGTACCACCCAGAACCACACTCCCATAACTTTTGACTGCTGAGCAGTCTGAACTGATACTTTTGGCATCAGCTGGTAGAGAACTATTTATGACTGAATTGGAATCACTGCCATCCCGCGATTTTAACCAGACAGATTCGGGAATGATTTCAATGTCAGGACTAGTCGGAAATGTAAACCACGACTTGAGCAGGGCTTGGAGCGAGCCCTGTGATGAGCAGTCAGTCAGCACAAGGCCGACTTCCCTGGGGAGTACTCTCGGCGGAGGTGGGGTCCCAGACCGATTACTGAAGTTGTTTAGCAGGACTCGCACATCTTGCCCAGCCTGCACGGCCGACTGCGCATAGATCGCAGTGATGGTCGTGCAGACGTCCCGAGTGACAGGAAGCAGACTTTGTTTATACGGTTCCTGTTCGTGGTCTAGGCCCGGCTGCAGTTGTACGTAAAGTGTTTCGCGTATGCAGGTGGCAGCATGACACAGTATTGGACTGATTCGTTGGATGAGTTGGTTGACGGGTGCTGTCAAAATGAGAAGCCCCGTCCTGCAACTGGGATGCATCTTGGTCAGAGAATAGCTCAAGCCTACATTATACACAGAACAAAGGACAAAAAAGAGACAGGGCTACCGACAATTAGTACAAAGCTAAGGTAGTGGACATTGAACCATGCACTAATCATGCGACAGCATCAAAGTGAATGCGTCACACGCACAATGTATGTAAAAGACATTAACGCGAGAACCAGAACGCGAACCAACATGCATGTGTACTCCATTCATCTGCACTGTACTTTCTGGTTCACAATGACATCATACTTTGGTACTCTATACTGCAAAGCAACTGACCACGTGCGGTGAATGGTTTGGGAGGCTGAGAAATTTTTAATACCAGGACGAATCTCTGTCTGGTTCCACCCTTACATTGTCATTGTGAATCCATAGTCTGCATTATGAGATTTTGGAAAGAATGCCACATACGGACAACACTTGACACCCTGTGCACAAACCCTTCACAACTGGTCTGAAAAATTGTGTTTTCTAAGTGAATACCTCAATATTTTCACAGCTAAATTTGACTTTTTAGGACATTTTATTGCTTTCAGATGGCCAATGGGTCACTGCAGGGAAACATTTGCAGCACCCATACATAATTATGGAATTCTTTTTTCAAATATATGTACGTACCAACTCCCCATCTTACCAACTATTGACAATAGGGAGCATGACCGAGACCTACCAGTACTTAAGTAGGAGTCCTACTACTAGTATTAGTACTTCTAGAAACTGTAGAAGGTATACGTATTTGGTGCCTCCTAACATAAGTTTCCAGAAGTAGATTCCTACAAAGGGTAGTACCTCTGTGCTCCATCTATAGCATCTATCCCAATAGTTGGGATGATCTTAACTAGGCCTATAGGCCTAGTGCTGCAGTTGTGTACATCCAATATTAGCTCTACTGAGTGGAACGTTAGTACATGTATTCCTCTTTTTCGAAAAAGAGGAATAGTAACGCTCCCCTCAGTAGAGCTGACCCAATATTAGTTGGCAAATTTCTGTAAAAAAGTTTCTCAACCTTCTCAAAATTTTAATGCAGCTCACACCTGACATAATTCATCCAAAATACAATGTATGCCAGCCAGGTATTTCATCTGAGTATGAAACAAATATGAAATAATTCCAATTTCCTGCAAGCCTGAGTTGTCACTTGTTGATAACACGCCCTTGTTACTAAAAAAAATATTAGAAAACTGCTGTAGCCTACGGCATGACTTTGACTAGCACTCTGTGCTAACTATAGCATTGACGTTATACATGCTTTACTTGGGATTGTCTCAAAAGTAGTTGGAATTTGATACCTGGGGCCCCACCGGTCACCATGGCCACCATGACCACTGCACATCCCAAACAGCAGAGGAAAGATTTTCATAGTGGGGTGCCAGTTGTGAGACCATCATGCAGTGTTCTGCATGGTGGTGGTGCCGCCCGGCACTGCCCACTGTGGTTAGAACACTGCCACCATGTATCAGCTATAAACAGGCCGATCCATTCAGCTCGTCATTACAGAACCAGCAAAAATGAAGGACCATGCCCCCCAGTCAAAAAAATGTAGGGGGCCACTGGTTCCCCACCCTTCCGCCATCAGTCATGCATGTACCTCTCACCCTCGGCAACGGGCCATGGCCAGCAGTAACTAAGTATACATGCTACTTCGAGAACTCAAAGTCACTACTCTGTCACGGACGGAGTACAGAGTGGTGACTTTGAGTTCTCGAAGTACATGGGGCCTACATGCACCCTACCCCCAGAACTCCCTCGTGGGAGCTGAGAGGAGCGGACGTCGGACCCGGTACTCCACAGTTCTGGGGGTACAAACCTACGCCTCCCTACCACCCGAGGCTAGGCCCTCCGTCATGTCCCTACTCACTACTACCATGTCCTGAATATGAATCTGATTCAGCGCCATAACAAGATCATCCTCTTTTTGCACCAGTGGCGATACAGCTTCTCATTTAATTCGTGCATTTGCCCAGAGTTACAACTGTACAAAATCTTCAAAAACTTACAAGTCAAGTGAACTACACGAATACCGGCTCGCGCGGCGGCCTGCGCCTCAGCTCATACTATACTATAGCATAATGCATTAAAAACTAGATCGTGCCCTTTGATCTTTGAGCGCGCCAGTAATTCATTCAGCGAGGTCACAACCGGTACGGTACTACTGCGAACAGAGGAACTTGCGAACGACAATCCGAAATGCATGTTGTGTCATGGACCCGGGGCTATGCACATCTTCTCTAAATTTCATGGACTATGGGTTGGGAGAGCTAGAGAGGCGACGGCGAAAACGTATAACCAGCAGTTCAGCCTACCTTGTGGAAAAGGTAATGGTGTGGAGATTGGTGGTTTAGCCATGGTCAAACATAGCATAGGACAAGATGCACGTATCAATTGGGCCCATCTCGAGATCGAATGTGGTTAACTTCCTCCCCCTTTTCACGCACTGCGCAAGGCGCAGTCCACTGATTCAAGCATGATTTAGTCAGAATTTCTGACCAGCTCATTAGCGACAGACTTTAAAAGTAATTGGGTGTTCATTACCTTTAGCACTCTATAGAAACGAAGTCCACTTTATGAAACTAACTGACTTTCAGACCTTAAAGATGCATTCCTGAATCGTAGTAGGCCCTAACCAGAATTAATTTCTTACCCGAGTTTAGTGAAAGATGACTGCGGTCACGCCTGGTTACCCAACCTGGCCATTGTGGATATTAATTTCTTAAAAAAACCTTCATCCATGTCAAGGAACCAGCATGACCAGACTACATTCGCTAATTTGTCTTTATTCAAAACTCTTTGTCGTGTCATTTATGCAGCCGTTTTACCCAGCAATTTCTTTCTAAAACCAAATTCATGCCCTCTTTTCTTTCTGATATGAAAGAGGACATCACTGCCAACTTGGCTAGCAAAGTTGTTTTTGAAAAGGTAGACTTTGTTTCCTTACAGAAATAGGGTGCTACCGGTAGATAGAAAATAGAAAATTGCCAAGGAATTGAAAGATTATGGACTATAACATAATTTTTGTTTCAGAAACCTCAGGGATGTTTGTTTGGCCCTGAACAGGGATGTTAGTATGCATTCTTTAGCTCTGAACAATGCTGATTTTACTGTTTCTGGTAGGGCTTGAATTAATAGACTAAACCCTGCACCTGGACCATGTCCATGATGGCTGGTGTAAATGGTAAGTTTCTGTCCCCCCTGGTAAATGTGTCCACTCCCCTTGGACACTTTTACCAAATCGCACCCCGGTAAAAGTGTCTGAGGGACACATTTATCTCTCCAAGTTAATTTGTCCCCCTGCCCAACACTAAATTTATCCCCTGAGAGATGTGATCCCATGCAATGTCATAAGTCTGTCACCCAGATCACTTTATTTTAACTGTTTCCAATTTCTGAATTTGGAGCAGGCTTGTTGTGAGGGTTTGATATTTTACAGTACACCATATCTATGTCTGTTTCGAGGTCCAAGTGTACATACACGCTGTATGTTGCATGCTCACGGGAATTTCCCCTTGTGAGAAATCTTAACTACCAATTTGTATGTAACCTGGCCGGATTTTGATGACCTTTGCGCTAGAACCTGCATGTTCTTGTCGGGTATACTAGTGCCATTAAACTCATCGGAAGCTTGTCTCCATGCCAGGATAGAGCATAGTTGCCACTTTCGTGTGTAAGTACAGGGATACTTGATTTATTCATGGACACACATACATTTACATGTACATTTATGTACGTGTATGTATGTAGAAATAATGTGGATTTCCCTTTGGTTGTGTGAACACAACCCAATTTTGAGACTTTCCTGTGTGTACACTGTATAGTGTACTTAATTTATGTGGCAGTGTCTTTGGGGAGGGTGATTGCCTGACCGTGCACTCATGTACATGTGAACCCATGTGCCTTACCCGGATACTGGGGTAAGCTACATGTATACCATTGTGTATTTTCAATGTATAATTTGCCGTATACAGGTATTCAACTTGGACTTTGACAAAAACGTGGAAAAGTTGCATGTCATCATATAGAAACGATAATTGGAGTAACTATGACCTACTTGAATTGGGTTCAATTACTTTATTTCAGGGTCTTGGTCTTCATTTATGTATTGCAATCATACTGTCGGCTCAACATTAATCATCATGTCTTGGATGCTGGATGTGATTAACAATAAATCCACACAAGTAAAGACTAGCAGATGAGTCTCCAGCTTTTCTTCCTTTAATCAGGGAGACTGACTCCCGCTCCAGTGAATTACTGGGGTAGGCCATCGTATTCCCTGACATTATTTAACCCGTTCAAATGGAGTTCAACCTTCTCTCTCCATATTTCAATCCCGCTGGTAAGTTTGTTACCGCAGATAATCTGCTATGAACTGTGTTGCTTTCTGGAATGATTCCAGGTACGGTTGCATAATTTTTTTTAAACTTACATGTTGGTTTGCCGTTAATGTTTATGTTTACTTCATACGTGATTGAATGATACAGCCTCAAAACTTGTTCAAAGTCCACCTGCTGAGTTTGCATGCCCTATAGTGCTGTTGATGTTTGCACTGATCATGGACGTACAAATGTAGAAATACTTGTAGAAGGGAATTCCTTTATTAGGACCTTTTCTAAATGTTCAAAACGTACGTTGTACCTCAGGTGGAAGCTAAGTGTAACAGCATTTGTATGTTTTCAAAGCTGTAAAAAATGTGCCAGAATACTATACATGTACATGTGTATGTTCATATTTTCCACATTTTGTGACTTGCCTTTCGGACTTCTTGGAGTTTAGTTTATGCGCATGGACATACATGTACATGTACTTTATTATTTTTTATCCATACACTCAGTGTCGACTCTACCCAGGTCCTTTGTGCCTTTTGTCTGAGAAGTGATAAAAAAAGTTGCAGGGCCTGATGTTTCAATCTCAGCAGAATCTTTCAAAAGCAAAATGGCAACTAGACAAAGACAAGCAAAATGGCAACTAGACAAAGACAAGCAAATAAGGAATCAACCAAGCATAGGACAAAGGGAAAGACAAGGGGAAGTTTGAATTATAGAAGCCAGTGCTTCCCAGAAGATTTTTATGTACTGTACAGGAAATGAGACCCATGGGATCGTGCAGTGTCACAGCTGACAACTTCAAGGAAACCCCTACGGTATTATTTTTGCAGGGAATGTACATTGTTCATGGCGTCCATGGAAGTTCTATTTTATGAAACCTGTGTTAGTTTGCCCAAAACTGATTTGTGTCACAGATACCGTGAGGGTTAAGAGATTTTTTTTCTGTTGCTTTGTTTTAAATATTCTTAATAGTCTACTGTGGATTTCTTGTTTTTTTTAATTTTGAAGTTTTCCCAATTGTAATTTTTCTTTACATATATTTTCTTTCATCCTGGTGAATTCCCAGAAATTTTGAAATTGTTTTGGAACCAGTGGAGATTTTCATTATAGCCCTAGAGAAAACTGCTTTTGTTTACTTTTTATTGTCACAAGTTTCTTTCAAAATAAACTGTGACCTATGTGTAGTCTTTAGAACCACAGTATTTCCTAGGTGAACCTTTTCCACCGCTAAATTAAAAAATATTTACGGTAGTGCCGAAACCTGGGATGATTATACATATATTTTCCTTGGAAATTTAGCCATTTTGTTCTGGGGCAAACTTTCTTCAAGCGAACTTTTTAGAACCCCTGCGGTATGTAAAAGTAGTGGAATTTTGTTCTGCAAGGAAAAAGGAGTTACGAAAAAAGTTCCCCTTTAAGCTGCAAAAACATTTTTTAGAATCTAGTTTAACCCGTACCGGGTACGTATTTTGACGGTCCCGCAATAAAGTGACCGAAATGAATCACGATTGTAGCAGACGTGCCATAGTGTTTTCCCATGCACATTCTTTATGCCAAAGTTACCGTAGGTCGATCCTATAGACACTATTCCACGTGTCATGATAGTAATGCGTGCATAGTGTTGTGATGGTAATCTACTGGTACATGTACTTATTCAAGATAAACTAGTCAAGCATGCAGCCTTCGCACACGTACCCGTTATGCACTTGTACGTGGGTGAAGCTGCCCGTAGGAATATATGCGATCACCGCGGCCAAGGCGGTCCACACGTGGTGGTATTGTTTACATTTAGTGCAATCCGGTCACGTGGCAGGGTTCCTGCGGGCTGGAGAAGTCATGGAAATTTGTTTTTCCTTTTTCAGGACCTGCAAAAGTCATGGAATTTTGTAAGAATGACTGAAGTCATGGAAAAGTCATGGAATTTTGTCATGGGAGTTATAAAACACTGTGTGATGATTTCTATTATCAGAAATAAGCGCATAAAATCTGTGATTGTATTTGCAACCTAAAATTCCACATACATGTAGTCCAAGCAATTACGTTATTTGGTTGTGGATTTTTATAAATTGGTCATGGAAAAGTCATGGAATTTAATTGTCCTTTAGGTGCAAGAACCCTGCGTAGGTAAAAAAGGTCTTTATAGAATAGACCAATCTGACAACCAAAGTTGGAAGCCATTACCACGGGGCCATCCTGTGTGAAATTCCTCAACCATGTTGACCAATAGGCAGTGCTTGTCAATTGGTGAAGTATGCGTGCGCGTTCGCTCAGGTTGAGACAGCTGAATTTGTCTATACTTCTTAAAATATGCCACTTTGGTCACCCTCCTGAAGACGAACAGAGCATACTGTTAGGAACGTCGAGTGTCCACCATCGGCTCTTCTCAGACATGTCAGAACCACACACTCATAAAAGCGATATTTTCTTGTACATGGTGCATTGCAATCGCAAGCCTACCTAACTTATACCACTTTGTGTTACCAACAATGTCTTGTTCCCATTCCTCATTTGGTGCACCCATGCGTGCATAATACGTACAGGTACATGTACATGTATACCCCTGTGCCGTCTTGTTGCCTTCAGAGTGCATCATGTACTGTACATGTACATGTATGTACAGTACATGTACTGTATGTTGCCTACATGTACATGTGCTACCAGTAGCTTTGTACATGTACGTGTAAGTGGCACTAGGCTAAAAGGGGTTCTCTGTACATGTACGTCCCTGGTCTCTGTGCAGCGGCCTAGCTGGGGGGGACACAAAGGGAGCAACAGCATTTTGGGGGGGGCACTAACTTTCAGTGATGCGGTTTTTGGGGACAAGCTTTTGTTAGCCTCGTTCAATATCCATTCATCCACTTCAAGTGTTTTTAGTGGGGGGGGGTGACGGCACCGGAAATTGTGGAGAGGCACGTGCCCCAACCCCCCCTCCCCCACTTAGCCACTGCATCTTTGTGGTTCATATCTGAAGCTTTTTACTTTTCAGTTGACGCTTCTGTCTGCTGTGCATGTGTACACTTTTTGATATACAGTACGTGTATGGACTGAGCCCCAAATTCAGTGTTTGTAGTGTGTGGTCTCACGTCCTCCCATTGGAGGATAACACAGATAAGGAGAAATCCCCCCATCCCGAAAATGGCATGTTCCTCTTGAACTTCTGCACTTAGCAAACAAGTGATTTTGGTAAGATAGTAGCTTTTAAAGTAATGGGTTACATACACATGCATGGGAATGGTTTTTGTGCTGACATTGGTACAGGATTTGAATGACAATAGTATCAGTCCCCCTCCATGATTATGGGGATACCATCTGAGGTCCATAGGCACTCCCTGTTGGTGGGACACACAGAAAGCAAATGCATCCTGCACAGTACCTGAAGAACCATCGATGCTGGCCCACTTTGGTCATCTCCAAAGTGTATGTATTTTCCTTATGCTTGTGATACTTTTTCCCTCAGCCATAAATGTTGGTGAGTTGGTAGTGGATTAGAAAGAAACTGAACTATCGCCGTATCGTTAGGGCATAGAGCAAGGAACAGAGCAACAGGAATTTCACCATGCACGTTTTGAGTAATGGAATTTTGATAGTGGTTGATTGAATGAATTTGTATCAGAATAAAATGTGATGTCCATTACAGTTGATACTGGGTATTTACCTGTTGAATCAGGCACTTCAAGGGGGGGCTTTTATAAGCCTGGGGGACCCATCTAAATACAGTTGTATACACATACCAGTACCGGTAGTTTTGATGCAACAGGGACAAGTCACATGCTGTACATAAAAGCTGAAGGAAAGGGTTCCATTATAGACTTAATACTTTGATAGCTCCTCGAACAAACCTATGAGACTTGTCTTGTTGGCCGTGTAAAGTGTACATGTATGTACATGTGTGAGTATGTAGTGAAATTCCTACTACAACTGCCGCATGCAGCCGTTGAGTGGCACCTCCTTGAAGATTTGGTCAAGAGAGGCCACAAGCAGATGTTGGCTGGCTTTTTTCCAGTAAATAGTTCTTGCCTGGATTAGGCCAGTAACAAAAGAAAACTGGCCCATTCAGCGGCAGTGTCCCTTTTGTGTTTGTGCGAGGAGAGCATGCTGTCCCTGGTTCTATCTTTGTGTGGAGCAAAATGCAGTTGCCATCGCCCATTGGACGAGTTCGGTTGTGAAGACTGACTGCAAAGCCTCGACAAGCTTTAGCTTGACAAAATAGTCTTCTTGACTCTTCCTTGTTCCTTTTTTGGGGGGCTGTTGTCTGGAAGCGGGATAGGAGCTGCATTGGCAATATATACTCCTATACGGTAATTATCCCAATCGAAGGACAACACCTTTTCACCTTATTATTTATTTCCCAGTTCAATTCTGCCAAGATGGAAATTTTCCTCGGAGTTCAGTGGTAAGGGATATTTATTTAAGTTCCTATTAGGGATAATTTGGCTTAATTTATCCAAATGTTCAATTCTTCGCTAACTCATAATACTACGAGTATGGCTAGTCTTCGTTTCATAGTAATTTTTATGCCATGTGTTCCACTGGGTTAGCAGCACTTGCCGAATCTACACCCAAACATGCACCAGATAGCGGCATGGCATGATATAACTGTGCGGATATAACTTGTATCATGATATAACTTGTATCAAAGAGGACTTTAAACAGGCTTGTATTAGTATGCACATGCGTATTTTAATGTACAGGCTGAAACAGCACGGCAGTAGAGAACAACCATTGTTCAAAAGCAGCATTCAAACCAGCAGAGTTTAATTTGTGTGTTGCCGCCTTGAAAATCTAAGCCGAAGTGGCCCATTTTTAGTGCCAAACTTGATGTACATGTAGCATCGGTGATTTTATGGATGTGTGGTGGACATATCCAAATAACTTGGCTACAATTGGAAATTACACGCAACTCTATGGGAACTCACAGTAGCCACTACTAATAGACTTGTGCATAATTTTCGGCCGTGGCCTTGTGACTTGGACACGGCTTAGGCCAGTTTCCAATACTCGATTCGGCACCATTACAAGCTTCAACTGTTTTTTGACTACCTGATTTTGAAGTTGTAAGCAGAATAGTGAGTCTGATTGTGCCAAAAAAATCAAGTAAGATGCAAAACATGAGCCAAACATCACAGCACTTCAATTTAATGTAAACGCTTCAGGCCTACAATTAAGGATGGGTTATGGAGATGAAACCAAAATGGAGACAAGCTGAATAGTGGAAAACGGCCCTAGTACACGTATCGTAATACAGAAAACGGCCGGGTCTTGACGGCATTTACTGAAAATCATGCATACATGTGTACATGTACTACAGATATAATTATTGTACATGTACCAGTCGTCATGATTTGACTTCAAATGTATTGACGTCAAATAATATTGGCCAGTGGGCACCTAAATAAATTTTCTTCTGGGATTGATTTTTCAATTATCATTCAATTGTCACCTGAAGAGAGTACCATCAAAATTAAGTTGAAGTGACATTCCTTTACATGTAGATCAAAAGTTTGACTAATTTTTGATGTAAAACTGACATCAAAGTGCCTACCGGGGTAAGGCTCAGGTCAGTATTCACTAAACATGGTCCTTAATAGGTGTACTGTACCGGTACATGCATAATTACGGTATGTGTACCTCTAGAAGTATACATGGACCAGTATACTCTAACCCCGCCCCCCACTTTGCATGGAATTGTCCAGTAGCAAGACATTGTGCATTGTTCAGTGGCATTTTTTAAAAAGCCTTTTCCCTCAGTTGTTTTTTGGTTTTTTTTTTCTTTTAGTAATCAGTTCCATGCATCTCGCTGAGGGATCTGCGTGCACGAGACACTGGGAAAGCTTCTTGAGGGGAGAAATGGTGGACAACATCCAGCTTCTTTGTGATCCAAGCGGCAAAAAGACTCTGTAAACGTAGGCACACTTGAGTTCCAAGATCTCAATATTTATCTGTTATTAGTAGAAAATGATACATAGGAAACTTGTTACAAATTATGTGCTCGAGCAGAAACAGCAGAGGACCAGTCACAAGGGATGTGCTTCACAAGGCCATCAAAATTAAGTTGAAGTGACATTCAGGTTACCAGTTTGGCTGGTAACCTGTTTTTGCTGACCAAATGTTTCCCACGTTCAGGCACACCATGAAATTGGCCCCACAGTCACAACTTCTTTAGGCATAGAAAATCTGTTGACAAGGTCGATGGTCAGTGTACTCGTAGCTTAAGATTTGGACCTGTTTGGAACAGGACTGCCATCGGTGTTCACAGTGCCCTCAGATGTTTACGAAAGACCGGTCCAGTAAGCCCCACCTACTGCACACTGTGCTCTTCTCCTGTGCCACATTACATGCACATCATACGTGGATGTACTCGTGTCAGACTTCTACACACTGTTGTTAGACATAAATCATGGCTATGATCGGTCAGAACACAATATGGCAGGGTATAATGGATCGGTCTACCTAGTAAACCAGCCAGTCACTCATCAGCTATGGAAGCCTTCGCCTCTCTTTAACTTAAGTTTATCTTTAACCCCTTCACTACGGAGGACTGCTACTACCACACCACTGTGTGAGGATTAGTGCATACCACACATACAGTCTATTCACCATGCAACTGCTGGTTCAATGGGGCCTGCTGCTGGACAAAGCCCTCCCTTCAGGGCATACCACAGCCCCAGCAGTCGCAGTCAAAATTATCCCGCCGTGAAGCAGTTAAAGGTGTTATTTATTCAATATCAACATATAAATGAATTTCAGAACACGTACATGGTAGCTGAAACAACATTGTGTTTATTGGGTTCATCATTATTTTTGTGAAATGGTACTTTCTGTACTGAGCCATTTAACGTTTTTCCTAGGCGAGTTGTTTTTGTCCATTTCATTTACATGCACTGGTTTTTCAAATGCTGATTTTGTGGTAGTTGGTCGTCTTCATCATTGTATGCAATTCTTTGTTAATTATCAGTGTTTTTTTTTAACAGACCTCCATATGAATTTGTTCCTACCCAGTTCCAGCAGCAGAGAAAGTTAGAATCACCCAACATGGCTGACAATCAGCAGGCCAGTGGAAGTGGGCGTGCCCGTGGGAGGGGCCGTGGGCGTGGCCGGGCTTCGCAGCAGCATGTCCAGCCCAGGCGTCCTGGCGAACCGGCAGGTGCAGCTACAGCCATGCCCAAGCCCCTGGGCGATCCGGATACCGTACCTGCACCGGGGAGGGGGCGATCTAGGGGTGGAGCTTCCCAAATCCCAGGCTCGGGAGGTGAACATCAAATGGTTGTCTTCAGCCCAACAGCCTCCTTCTATTGAGCTATTGGCTTAAACTAATAACAAATAGTTAAATCAAGTCAGTCCTATTCTTTGGCATATCTGTGTCACTGTTAGTTGGCTTAAATCATGGACTGAGGGCCAAATTCTAAGGGACAGTTTCATTAACACAAGAAATATGTTATACATTTTTAACATTCATATTTATATACACTAAAACTAATGTACATGTAAATATTATTAAAAGGCAGCAGGTGCAAAACTGTCTTTTTCAAACACAAGTATTACAGGGCACTATGACAAAGGGAAGCAATATGGAAATTTTGAAATGTTTGTGAAATAAGGGATTGAAGTTTTGGAAGCCCTTATTTCTGAAAGTGGGGTGATTGTAGTACTGTTCCTGATATTGGCATGTTAACTTTGTTGGGGGACAGCAGATGGCAATTTCATCATCAAATTTTCCACAGTTTTTATTCCACTTCTTTCCAGACTGTCCAGTTTGCAATGGTTTAGTGTAAAAGAACTACTACTGATCACCCATGGTCAGGGCAGGGCGGAATATGGAGAGAGTAGCACCAGCTTTAGATTTTGGAAACAAAATGGGCGTTGATTATGTTTACCGTAGAGCGTGCGACTATTTTGTACCAACTGTCCGTGCGCACTGGCGCATGCACCTAGCTGTTAGTTTCCAACAATGGTGATGCTCATGTCGCAACGCACTCTATACACAGCTCTGCCGAAGATCGTAGGCCTTCTGTTTGTATCATTTTATGGAAAATGCCATATTGTAACAAATTTCGAAGCTGTTTGTCTAAGTACTTATCACCTTGCTTGAAGTTAAAAAAAACTAAATTGCTGCCATTGTGCCCAATCAGTTTTTCAACAAAAGATCATCAAATATGTTTGCAGTTATACTCCATTTCTTCTTCACCAGTTCTTTTCCTCCTTCCACAGCTGCCATTAGTAGCGAGCAGAAAGCAGGTGCAACAGTGCCCTTGGCAGAGCCTCCAACTACTCAAATGGCCGCACTGAGTATGGGCCAAGTGCAGGGTGCAGAGGGTGGGGGAGTTAGTGCTCGCAGGGGAGGGTTCCTTGAAGAGGAGCTCAAGACAAGACCAGAACACCTTACCGATAAGAGAGGTAAGACTAAAAGCTTGTCTGCCTCCTTGTTATCCACAATACGGTAGCTGCATGTTAAATCACCCACATGGCCATTGAACCATTTGACAATGTTGATTAATGTTGTACCAGGCGGCGTATTATTTTCAGCCCCCAAAACACTGACTTAACGACAAGATACCACAAGCCAAGCATGTGAAAATTATTCATTTCTGTCAATTTCTGCACAAACCCCAGTCTGCTTTCTTTTGCATGTCTCCACGTATCTTTGTGTGAATCTTAACGATGCCAGAGACATTAGTCAGGAGCCATCACACAGTGATGTGGTACCAGTGCAACAGTACTGTGGGCACCACTCAAACAGCTACACTTTGTTGTGCACGCAGTCAGAACATCTCTGTCTTTGTGTGCAAATCAACGGATATGTTTGTTGGTGACAAACATGTCTGAAAATTACACTCTATCGTTGGAAAAAAGACACACTTTCTGAAAATGTGCAACTGTGTACAGACAGAATGTTTTGCCAATTCTTCGTGACAGGTGTGGAGTCACAGTGTACCTGTAAGTGCAGTTTACACTTCCAATGAAGAATTTGGCTTTTCCCCCCGTTCTGTGCCATATTTTAGCCCAGCCCAAATTAAAAGGTGAATTGGGTTTTCCATCCCTGCCCAATTCCTTGGATTTCCCTGCAAAAGCATTTCATCGCTGCCTCCCTTTCCACCTGTTCTGCCCTTTTTCGTAAGTGGTGTGGACACCTAACCCATCATTTTACTTATTCCCAGAAATAATATTCATATTGATGTGCTTTGGTTAAGCGATTCTTTTCAGTAAACTGGAAACAGTATTATCCACTGTTTTATGTTCATGCCTCAGGCAAGAAAGGCAAGACTGTTGAACTCCTGACCAACTGTTTCCGTCTGAGAGCAGATGGCCAGTGGCTCCTGTACCAGTACGATGTGAAATTCTCTCCTGAAGTGGACAGTCGTAGGGCGCGCCATGCCCTGCTGCGGTCCCATTCAGAGATAGTGGACGGCCCCATGGCCTTTGATGGCATGATCCTCTTCTTGCTCAGGAGGCTGGACCAGCCGGTGAGTGGACTCCGTATGCTAAGGCCATGTCTGAGTATCAGTGGTTCCCGATATCCCTGAACCATTGTCAGAAGACTCAACCCCACACTCTGCATTTTTGGAAAAGGGAGATGGTGTGCAACTGCATACACGCTACTTACAATGAGTACGATTATTTCCCGTACGCTTATTTGTAGTTTCGTCACAAGTTTAGACAGGCATGCTTGATCGGTAGTAATAAACGTGATCTCAGATTAGGGAAAACCAGGCCAAGAGGTCATAGATTTGCAAAATGAATTTGAAATGTCGAAAGCCGTGGACACCAACACACATTTCCTGGCCCTTGTCTCACAGAAGTTATTTGATTTGTTGCCCGATTTTGCCAGACAAGACACTATTGTGTGAGATGTCTGCAATGTACGTTTAGCACATTTTTCACATGGATGTGATAAACTGTACCAATAAAGACAAAACAATAGTTGATATTCATTATTAGTGGCTGGATTTTTCTATGCTTACCGTTTCTTTTACCGACTGTAGGTTACCAGGTTTGAAACGAAACGTCGAGACAGTGATGCCGTTGTTACAATCACCATTACTTTAACAAGCGAGCTGCCCCCAAACTCACCGACTTACCTCCAGGTCTACAATATCATCTTCCGCAAGTACGTTCCCCCTCCCCCCCTACCAAAACGAAACATGTTTTACTGTGTAAGAGTATTTGAAAGTGAGAAATGGTCTCAGGAGATTTTACTCCGGTAGTGTGCTGTCGGATTGCAGTGGTCTTTTGCAGCAAGGTTTTGTTTTTTACAAGTTTGTGTTTTTTCACAAGTTTTTCTTTCCACCATATTCTTAAGTTTCAATGAGTTTTCCGTGTTCTGTTATTCTTTCAGAATTCTTAGATTGGTTGGCTTTGAGCAAATTGGACGGAACTATTTCAATCCAGAGCTGAAAATAGATATTCAGCAGCACAAGTAAGTGAACTTTAAAAACTGAAGAGATGATAGTAATTTGCATAATGTTATGAAGCCACAGGTCAGCTGATGCTCAGTTCTCTACAGGAATAGATCGATCTAGTAAGCCCCGCCCACTTTGCACATTGGCACTTAGCACATTGGCACTTAGCACACGCTCTTCTCCAGGAGCACACTACGTGTCGTGGCCCTGCATGTCAGCCTTTCCATTAGGGCTGTGTCGAATATCAGAATATTCAATTTGTAATCAAATATTCAAATAGTATTTTCCGAAACTGAATATTTGAATGCAAAATTCATGAAAAGGAAGGAAGAATTTTCTTTTGTTTTAAATGAGAACAATTGCATTATGGAGGCTTGTTTTAAGCAAATTAATCTTACGATTCAGAAGTAAATTATTCATTAACAAATTTAAAAGGATTAGAAATTTTCAACAAGGTAAGAACCATTGCTCAATTCCTAAATCTTACTTAGTTATGGCTGGAGATACTCCTAGATGTGAGAAGCTATTATAGTGATTATAATGTACAATTGTGTGCATTATTGCAACAGATTTTGTAGGCGTTTTTTTCATCAACAATCTGCCAGTCGGTATGACCGAATATTCAATCAAATTGAAGGTGGAATATTTGAATAGTGAATTATTGCAATTGACTCGGCCCTATTCCCTGTGCCTCCCTTCCCTTTGATGCAGACTCCAGCTGTGGCCCGGCTTCATCACTTCCATCCTGCAGTATGAGGAGGAGGTCCTGCTGATGGCCGACGTCTCCCACAAGATCCTGCGGACGGAGACGGTGCTGGACCTGATCTATCACCTGAGCCAGACCAAGGAGGACTGGGCCGATAAGTTTAAGACACTCATCACTGGAGAGATCGTCCTGACAAAGTAAGGCGTTGTTGGCAGTTACCATCTACTCACCTCAAGTTCAGCGCAGTTTTGGCCAATGCGATTCAGTCTGGCTTGCTTTGGGTCATGTCAGTTTGTTTTGTGTTCAGTTCATTTTTTTTCCATTTGAATTATTTTACAAAGGTTTTGTTCTTTTGTCGTGTTAAGTGCACTTTAGTTTATTAGAGTTTGGACTTGGGAACCCCAAATTTTTGAACGTTTAAGAGTTTGAATCACTTCAGTGTTTGGCTTAAAAAGCAGGCACAAGACTTATGCACCATCAGAATTGCGTGGGAGAAAATTCATACCCTGTTGGCTCTTAAAAGGCCTAAAAAGGAGAGAATTTTATTGTGTTTATTGTTAAAACCCATCTGGATGTTTAATGGGCTGCCCTTCATAACCGCTGGTCGATTATCTCGATTAATCATGATTAGTTCCTTCTACTTGTTGCACTACTCGTGCAACTGTTCGATAAATTGCGCCAGCCCGTTATACGGCGATTAGTAGCTGTGAAATTATGTGCAAGTGGTGATTGTTAGCAAGTACTGATTAAGGTACACACACTTATCATTTATTAGCCAAATTCACCACTCCCCCTGAAGCACCTTTCATCCCCTTATCTCACACCTAGGGTCACCAGAATGATTGTTTTCTTTTAGCCTTTTCACTCATACAGGAGCGCAAAAAAAATAACCAAGAGACTCAATGTGCTGCAAGGCTGGGATTTGTCTGGATTTTTCCTGGCTTCAGGATTTGTCAATCTCTTGTAACGTGAAATTTGAGTTTACCATTGAGGCGGTTATAAAATATACAAGTGGATTTGCATATAGAGCACAAGAAATGGGTATCCCAATGGGTGACTTCAGACAAACACAAATATATATCATAGGCTCTGTGCTGCCGTTGGGTCCTCAAGACCTCTGGTGGTTATGCTGTGGAAATTTCACTTGCTCCCAATCTCACCCCTGTTGCTATTTGTAGCCAGTGACATCATATTGCATTCTTTGTTAAACTGCATTCCTCACAAATATTCCTCAGGTACAACAATAAGACCTACCGTGTCGATGACGTTGTATTTGATAAAAATCCCCTTGACGCCTTTGAGAAGTTTGACGGCACAACGATTACCTATGCTGAGTACTACCGGGACGCCTATGAGGTAGAGTTGAGGGATTTCAAACAGCCGTTACTGGTCGGCAAACGCAAGAAGAGGGTAAGTTGATTTTAGTGTTTGTTGAGAAATGTTAACTGAGCCTGAGAATTGATATCTGGTTTTGATGGTTTTGAATAGAAAATCTTTCACACGCTGTTTTACTCTGAAGGGACTTGCGAATGCAGATTTCTCTGATATCAGCAACTGTGCATTGTTTTATCATGCTGAGCCAGCATGAGTGTTTCTTCTCTTTTCTGGCCGTCATTTAGATGCCAATATTATGAAAGTTAGATATACCAGTTTCCTGTTTTCCAAGACTGTTGGGCCAATAAATATCAGAACCTTTTTTATTTCCTGTGCCTGTTTGTTCATTTTGTTTGTCAATAGGACGAACGCCAGGGAGCAACTAATATCCACCTCATCCCAGAGTTGTGCACCATAACAGGCCTGAGCGACAACATGCGCAGTGACTTCCATGTCATGAGAGACCTTGCAACCATAACTCGCATCACGCCTAATGATCGCCTTCAGCAGTTATCCAGCTTTCTTGGCAGCTTTCCCAAGTAAGTTGATTTCCTCTTCACCCCATTCCAAATCACTTTCTGATAAGACTAGTAAGAAATTGATTGAATTATCAATAATATGAAAATTAATTTTATTTCCTTTTTTTATCGTGTTAAGAGTTTTTATTGTGAATCTTGTGATCAGATTGCGTCAACGATCAATGCCTACCTTTTTGCTCTTGTGAAATAGCCCCATGGCACAAGATTATACTTGTGCACATACTGATGAAGCACTTGCTCTCACTTTAACCACTTGCTGCCGGGGTTCCCAATACCAGAGACCTTGGCAGTATATTCATGGCTGGGGTGCCCGAAATCGGAACTTTATTTCGAAGCAAAAAATAATGTTACTCAGCCTTTTTTTGAAAAAGGTTACTTGCTGTCAGTCAGCTGCTGGGACTTGCCAATCAAGGTTCATATGCTGTCAGTGCAGAGTGCTGGCCATTTTTTTTAGAGGTAATCCATCATTGTTTTGAAAGAGTACCATTGTTTGCCGCTGCCAGTTCCCACAGATTATAAGCAGGGACAAAAGCGCTTCAGCACTCCAATGATGAGTGATACCATACCGCTGCGCACTTGTGGAATCTGGTTGTATTAGTAAAGACAACACTGCGGTCCAGCAACGCACTGGGCCAATTTCCATAACAAAGAGGAAATTAAGCAACAGCGCACAATGGGGGCTCTTTACTGGGCAGCAGGCATGGCTACAATACTCAAGCGTCAATGGAGGTCGCCTCTCAGATAAGACTCGCCGCAAGACAGTCATTTCTTTGGATGTACGCATCCAGTAAATGAAGATATGAATTTTTGAAGAATTTTGAAACCGGAAAATTGTGGTACATCGCCCGGCAGCATGTCCTGCATGCTGTTAACTCTGTCAACTCCACCCGCCATGAAGTGGTTAATACAGTTGGGTCATACTTCTGACATTCTTGTTTCAGGGATGTATTTGTGCCAACGCAGGTAACATTCTCAGACACTGCCTAAAGTTTCCCTAAAAGAAATTGAAAGACCATATTGTCGGTTTAATATCTGAAAAGTCCTTACAATTTTTTGCAAAATTCTCCCAGAGCCTTTCTCTTAAATCAAAAAAAAAAATTAATTGTAACAGCACATGTTCCAGACTGCGTTATTTGTACAAGTACATGTAGTTTTGGAGGCCAACATAGTCACATTTTACCCTAATTTCCTGTCCGTTTTCAAGTTTAAAGCAGTATTCTTCAGTAAGGACTTTTTAGTGCTGTTTTTTTACAAGAACCTTTTAGTACTGACACTGTGACATGGTGATATTAGGTATGAAGGTACGGTATATTGGTGGGCTTGGGGATATGTGCCAGAGTTGAATGAAATGAATACTCAATTCTGAATCAGAATGATCGGTCAACTTCTTGAAGACCTGACCTCTGAACTTGACATCCTGCTAGGAACAAAGAGGCCTACAGTCACCTGCGGAGATGGCAGTTGAACTTTGACCCACAACCAGTCAGGATCAATGCTCGGATAATGGATCGAGAGACTATTATCACAGGAGACCGGGGAAGCACTGTAAGTGTAAGAAACACTGGACAACGGTGGAAATAAGACATGAGATACCATCCAATTAAGGATGGGCGTATCATTGAATGGGCCTCCAAATATCTGAGATACACACAGAAGCAGGCACACCATCAGGAGAGACGCCATTTTGAATATGAAATTTAGTCGAGCTTTGCTTTCTACGGTCCTTCAAAATCTACTGGGTTTTTGGAAAATGTTGAAAGGCTGAGAGAAGCACATGTACAACTTCATGCTTGATGCCCTTTGAATTTGTCCAAGATAAATGTGCTATTAGTTTTATGCACTTCACAGGATTTGGGAGGGAACGTGAGTGTGCCCAGCAAAATCCCAGGGATTTCGGTTAAATTATGTATTCGCTATTTCGGTATGCAGACACAGGTTCATACGCAATTGGAGTTGGGCATAAGAAGCACTTGGCAGAAACTTGTTGGAGACAATTACCTCGACGCCTATCGAAATGTTCCCATAAACAGTCAAATTTCTATTATAAGTGCCCTTTTGCAGAGGAGAATTGCCTGCCCCTTCAAGAAAGAAGTTTCTGCCCTGCAAACATGCCTAACCGATTCTGTTTGAATGCACGGTACAGTGTTAGCATGTGCATTAGGCACGCATACGAACCTGGTTGGTAAATTTCCCACCAGCCTATCTCTTCTTTGCACTTCAACTCTGGACAGACAGTATGTTGTTTTGCTTGGTCTGGTGTTGGTTTTGTGTTGTTATGTTTCAGTAGCTTGTACCTTACAAAATTAGGGATTTCTACTGGTATGCAGTACGGGCCGATTCACAATAGCGCACCTCCAAGAGTTTGCTCCCCGTTGGCAAATCTGGAAATTTGAAAACTAGGCTTTTTTTTCTGACTTACTGTATGTATAACTAAAATTCCTTAACCTTGCTTCAAAATGACACACTTAAAGCTTTTATACTTTTTTCTTCCGTTTTCACGGTTATTCAGTTTGATTGTTGGGAAGTTTGACAAATGCCTCAAAATCTGCCCCTTTATTTACCACAAAAAAGTGGGATGGGAGATGATCCATTAGCCCCCACCCCTAGAATTCAACCCCTTACTCTGTCTCAGTAATCTGTATATGGGTTTATCATACATAACACACAGCGCATTACGCTGGATGAGAATGCAGAATGGAGCCGACAGATGAGGAAGGAGTTACTGAACAGTGTTGGGCTGCTGGACTGGATGCTAATCTACATCGGACGGGACAGCAAGAATGCCATGGACTTCCTGACTTCCCTCAACCGTGTCGCGCCAAATTTGGGGATGGAGGTCAGGACACCCTTAAAGTAAGTCGTAGTGATGACAGGGGCGGTGGGGGATTCACAAACAACCATCCCTTGAAAGCTGCCGTGTATGGCTCAGTGCAGTGAGCAATGGTTGCCTTGATAGCCAAGCATTAGCAGATTACATACTTCAAGCTTGTTCCCTTCTAACAAGTTAGCATTTGGCAGAGAACCTTGGTACTCAAAGTACTCAACTACAACACATATTTGTTTACTCAGCATTTTTGTCTTAAGCATACATGCTTATCATGTGTATCCACTCCCATTTTAATGCTTTGTGTACCGGTAGATGCGAGTTAAGAGATGACCGAACCGAAAGCTTTATTCGCGCTATCAGAGACAATTTGACACCAAGGACACAGATGGTGAGTACAATGAAACTCGATATGGCATAGTCAGTGGGTAAAGCCGCAGGTTGTGGGTTTGAATCTAGCCAGAGGTCTGTTTGACACTTACTACCTCTCCCCACCCAAGAGTAACTGGGTTCATTGTGAGTGCAGAGGTGGTTATTGTAGTTGATTTAGCTGCTTTGCAACAAAATAGCAGTGTCGAGCTGTATACTCCCCAGGGAGCTGAGATGGTATTTGGAATGTTTCATTGGCCCAATGAGCAGGGGTAATAATAATGGAAAGCACTTTGAACTTAGTTAAAAGTGCGATATAAAAACCTGTTATTACTATAAGATATTTCTTACTCATTATACTTTTGTTTAAGAAAAAAAAAGTAGTACGGATGTTTCCTTCCCCAATCCATTAATGTTTTAGCTATTTTACAGAAGGTCATGCAAAGACTTTTAGAGTGACTCGTGCTGTATGAGCATGTTAGTCATGTCTCAAGTAATTATTGAGTTTTATTTGTTACTCTGGTGACAGATAGAAAAACTCATTGTCTACATGGACAAGCTTTGACGATGTTGAATATGTACATGTACATGTGTGTGTTTGTAAAATGTAGCAAAATAAAATGGAACAAATTCCAAACGATGTGTCCCAAATGCAACCTGCAGGCAAAACGCACTGTACACAAATTAACCTAAGCATGTTTTTCTATCAGTAGTGAGATGTATTCAAAAAGCCTCAGCAACATTCCTCTGTGAGCACATAATTATGATTTTCATCATTTTCACCAAGCAAAACAAACGCTGAGGTTTTTTAGTTTTTGACGCATCAGCGTTGTTGGCACATTATTGTAGTGCAAATAGCCGGACAAAATTTGGAGTATTCCATAAGTCTGTACGTAAACATGGACCTGCCAAGCAGGCTTCACCGTGCACAGTGAGTTCGTGCTCTAGTTTTTTAATACAGGCATGTAACTTTTCCTCAGATCAACTGATTTCCTCATTTCTCACTTCACACTCTTGCCACTGCAAATTGAAAAACACTGCACAAGTCTTGTAAAGATTGGAATTTCCTCTTCTTTGTCAAAGCTCAAGTTGCATGCCCGTAATTGGGTGGGATACAGTTATGCAGAGCTACCCGAACATTGAACACTGTTTCATTCGGAAAATATTAAAATGCATCTTAGTTGTTATCCACAGTGGATCGTGATCATTCCACTCATGATTCTAGTGTATTATTCAAGAACATCATCGGCCCACTCACAAGACCAAGACCTGTCACAAGTAACAGGGTGAATAGTGACAACAGTGCTCATGTTGCTGTTCATTTGAATAGCTTGTGACTTGATTCCAGATTCGGGAGGTCTTCTGCTGGTCATGTGTTGGTCTTGTGTTGGTCTTGTATTGGTTTTGTGTTGGTCTTGTGCTGGTCTTGTGCTGGTCTTGTGTTGGTCTTGTGTTAGTCATGTGTCGGTGTTGTGTTCGTCATTTATTGGTGTTGGTCTTGTGTTCATCATGTGATGGTCTTGTGTTGATTGTGCTGGTCTTTTGCTGATCTTGTGTTGGTCTTCTGTTGGTCCTGTGTTGGTCTTGTGCTGGTCTTGTATTGATCCTGTTGGGTCCTGTGGTGGTCTTAAGAGGACTCAACTCCACTCCATGATCCCCTAGGTGGTGTGCATCTTGCCGACCTCCCGCAAGGATCGCTACGACGCCATCAAGAAGCTCTGCTGCCTGGAGGCACCAGTTCCCAGCCAGTGCATAGTGAGCCGCACCATCAGCAAGAAGCAGACCATCATGTCAGTGGCCACCAAGATTGCCATGCAAGTCAACTGTAAGATGGGCGGTGAGCTGTGGACGGTGGAAATTCCTGTAAGCAATTTGATGTCTTGTTTTTTTAGCTGCATGAATATTCATCTCTGACACATTCGCTCTGGGCCTGCAGGTGCTGCTCTGTAGCTTGACCCTAATAACCTCCAGGGACCATTGGAATCCTTCATAACCTTGTTGGGTTCAGCATGGTTAGGGTTAATGAATGAAGGGACCTTTCCCATGAAATATGCAAATTAGACGGGCGCATACGCGCTACTACCACTGGTTGGCAAGTGCATCCATCAACACTGTCTGCAGCGTAGGCGAGCTGCTAGTAACGTAACCTGGAGCGTTGAAGGTCAATCAAAACCGTATTACAGCCTTTACCCGATTTGAGCACATTTTTCTCGAAACTGAGTGAAGTTTTCAGTGTCCTGAGGTTGGAAAGAAATATTCCTTGTCTTTTAAATAGTGTGTATGTGCTCATGGTTGAGTGCGCATGGAGATTTGTATTGTTATGTCATAGATTTGAGCAACTTTGCCAACCAGTGGCAGTAATGTGCATGCCTCTGCCTTATTTACATATCTCGTGGGAAAGGTCCATTGCATATGGATGTGGCTTTTGTTTCACTTTTTGTGAATATGAAGCACTCCCTTGAGGAGGCTAAAGAGAAAGGCAAATAACCCCTCTGATATACTGACTGGACAGTGGTATCACCGTGCACGGACAACTGACATACCCCTCAGTAGCTCAAATTAATACACCCAGCTGTAGGCACATTGTTACACAGACATGGGTTGTCTGGCAACACTTCGCTGCATGCATCAAAAGCCAATTGGCCAAACCTACAGAGCTAACATTGCCACTATCTTCTTGTTCTCCATTTCAACCTCCAGTCCAAAATGCTGATGATGGTTGTTGGAATCGATTCTTACCACGACCTTAAGAATAAAGAGCAGTCTGTTGGTGGATTCGTCGCTTCCATGAACCACAGTCTGACCAGGTAAGCACATTGCCCACTTGCCTTCCAGCTTGGCTTTCAGGTTACTGGTAATATCATCTATTCCACTGCAGCAAAGCAGAATACAAAACGAGAGCGAACTACAACAGTAACAAAAGCACACAAGAGAAGGAAAAACGAAAAGTGGAAAATGCACAAAATATGCAAACAGTCTGCAGGGAAAAGATGGAATGGGAGCACCTGGATAGGCATGAAGAAAAGCAGAGATATGATCCAAAGCAGATAGTGGAACACGATGTATGAGGAGAACATTCTGGGGTGAGACATAAGGAAACATCACAGCCCCCCCCCCCAAGTAATAGACAAGACAAACCACATACTACGCAGGTAAATGAAATAACTTTTGACAGGAAGCAAGTCATCCTGCATGTAGCATATGACGGAAGAAACAAAGACGACACGGGAACTGAGGGAGAGGATAAACCGTCAATCATGTTGTCACTTGTATGCTCCGTGACAAGTATGGGTAGAATATGGAAATCGGACAGGATTTTAACAGATGTCCACTGGTTTGGGTAAAAAGTCTGTTTCACATGACAGTGTTTCCCCTCAACTGACACTTAGTGCCCGTACTTCTTGCTGCGAGTCCATTCCAGGAGAACCTCTCTTGTTTTAATTCATACTCCACAGACAGTTAAGGTAGGCTTTTGTAGAAGCTCGCCTTGAATAAAAACACGGTATATTTTGGGTCGCTGTCTGGCTCAATTCCTTAGGCCGTTTTACCCCCTCTGATAGTCTCAGGCAGGGTGTTCCTTAATCCAGTGCTGTAGCCAGCAGTTCCTGATTTCAATCTGTTATTTTACGGATGGTTTCAGTGGAACTGTGCAACGATCTCAGAAGCTTTGTGAAGGCCCCGCCTGACCGTAATTTGATGCATCACCCCATGGTTGTTACTGTTATTGTTGTCCAGGTACTATTCACGATGCACCTTTCAGCATTCAGGACAAGAGCTTATTGATAGCCTCAAGGTCTGCATGACAAGTTAGTATCTGATACTGGAGTTCTTTGTTTTTCGGGGTTTTGAAGGGAGTGAAACTTTTTCAGTCTCTTTTTTTCTGGCTCCAGTCACAGCAAACATTAAGAGTGTATTTCAGAGTGTTTTATCTAGATTTATATAGGTACAAAATGCAGACTGTGTGATTGGCTACAAGATAAAATGATTTGTAAAACTAGTGCCATGCCATATCAGATTGCTGGTTCATTGATCCAGAGGTCATAGTTTGGAATCCAGCCATACATGTAGGTTAGTTTGTCCAAGGTCCTCCCCAGTCAGGTCTATTTTTTTTTGTTTTAACTTTTTCACAAAGTCGGTTTGAATGATTTCCAAAGGTGAACTCTGCACTGGATAGATGTTATATTTGGTGCTCCCTTGACCACCAAGCTTCACGGGGTCGGCTGGCCGGTCCAAGTCAGAAGTAGCAGTGATAGCCACGATCAATTTAGTTCTAAAGATGTACTTTGTGTTGGGCCAGATTTTAATTTTGAGTTATGGGTTTTGCCCTTACACCGATCTGCATTAGTAAGAAGGAGGTCTTTGGTCTGAGTCCCACCAGAATAAGTGTGTGAATATTTTTCATGAATGCCCGGGCAACACTGAGCATACAGGTGTGAGGAATTGATATGAGCCAGTGCAAGGGCATAACCTGTGATTCACAATTAGTCTGAAATCCAGCAAATTATCTGTAACCCCAGTGGACTTTTTACAGGTGCCTTGAAAAATTTCCATGAGATCAATGGGAGTTTGCCAGAGAGGGTTATCATCTATCGTGACGGGGTGGGTGATGGTCAGCTGGCTGCCGTGGTCAATTACGAGCTGCCCCAGCTGCTGAGCACCTTCCAGATGATAGGAAAAAATTACAAGTAAGTCGAGTCACTACCTTTGTTTCTTGCTGGCTAAAATCACTGTCAGTATAGCCCTTAATAGACTTTGGCCAGTACTTAAAAATCTTTGTGCCAGACAAACCAACAATGCAAGTTCCCTGCACACAGCACAGCTGACGAGTAGAACTTCGTTGACCGTTTTTCACAATGCACTGCAAAAAATGCCTCCCCATGGTAGCCTCTTGGTAGCGAATGATGAACTGCCCGTATTGCTAGTAAGGGTTGCTGGAGGATTTTTACTTGGCATATAAACCCACTATTAAGTAGTAGGGCCATTCTATAAATTTAGGGTCCCAAAGTGTGACAGTTTAGTGTCCCTGTTACATCTGACCTTTGTTATTTGACGCGGAAATATCACTAAAATTATTTTCAAGTAATTACTATTTGGCAGGTAATTTGCATTAATTCAGCTCTCTTGGAAATTAGAAAATGTGTTAACTTACAAAATCATATGTCAGAGGGAGACAAAAAAGTGACCCCTAAATTATAGAATGACCAAGTACTTCTCAGCAGCTTCGAAAAATGCAGTAAAACCTTGATGATTCACATTCGGTTAAGTCAAAACATCCTTTATTTCAAAGACGTACTTCATTTGCACCAAAAGAATAGGCTTTTATGTAAAAAAAAAACTCATCTGCTTTTCTTGAGGTTGTTGCAATGCCAACCCAAAAGAAACTTCCATCAAAATACATGTACTTAGAAAAATTGTCAACTTTATTAGGTAACATTACGGGCAAGCACCCTTTGTCTTTTCACACTGAGACACCTACATGCGCACTGCCATATTGTGATCAACCAGTCAAAGGGACCAGCCTGTTAGCGCATCAAATTCTGGCTTTCAGGCTAGCCTGATTGCTACTGTGGGCCCAACTGTAGCCTGTATGTCGACAGCAGTGTTCTTGACTCGAGTCGTTAATTCAGACTCAAGTCGGACTCGAGTTGAGGTTTTTGGGACTTGAGACTTGACTTGGAAATAAATGACTTGGGACTTGACTTGAAAGAACGTGACTTGCGACTTGACTTGAATAAATTTGACTTTGTTACAAACGTTTGTTACAAATAACAAACAAACTTTTGGGAGTTCACATCTAATTGATTGAAAAAAACGCCTGTTCAGTGCCAATCCTACTAATATAGGCTAGCGAGCACAAGAACAAGGTGCCTTGTTGTCCATGCATTTTGTAGCCAAGCCCATGTGGGCGGACCACACTCTGCTATTTCAAGGTGTGCGTTTTCTTAAACGTATTATCATTCGTTTTTCAGCGTAGCGATTATTCTTACTACTCCATATATGCACATGATCTGCAAGCATAACGGAACTAACTTCTTTAAACAGTTGGAAAAGAACTAATACCCTCGTATAGTAATCAACAATTGACTCAGGAAAACTTGACTTGATTTGGGGAAATTGATTTGTGACTTGGCTTGGGAAAAAAAATTGGCATGATCACAAATTTGGCCAGCAGTCCAATCATTGACACTTTGCTGGGGCCGTGTGACCACTAAAGAGGCAGTTGCCCAAACATAGGAAAACCAAATAACCTGGAGCATGCACAGGTGTCCTGTTAGCACTATAGACATAATAGACCAAATGACACAAGAGACATATATGCCACTCAATGGTCCCCCCCCCGCACCCAAGTGCTTTATTGTTTATAAAACGTACGTCTTTAGGTAAACTGATTCTTTGTGAGCAAAGAATGCATCAGTACAGCAAATTAAAAGGAACACAACGGCAACAACCTTTCCAATTAAATCCATTAATCACCGTGGAGTGAGTTACGGTTACATATTTAAAGCAATGTATTTGTATACAACACGGTGCACTACAATGATGCGCAAGGCTTCCGTCCATAACGTTCACCTTGCTTTTTTTTTTGTGACGCCCTGCAGACCCAAAGGTGCCATGGTGGTCGTGAAGAAGCGCATCAACAATCGATTCTTCAGCCTGAAAGGAGGTCAGCTGCAGAACCCCTCCCCAGGAACCGTGATTGACTCTGGGGTCACCAAGCCAGAATTGTCAGTTTACTTTTTCAGCATACCAGTCGGGAAGAATTTAAAAGAAACTTCTGGGGTTGTTTTAATCAATTGCTGTACCATCCATTTTTCTTCATCTGTTTTGTCTTTTGGCAATTATGAGTTCAGAATTTCTGCTGCTTTAAAATTCAAAAACGGCATTTCAGGCCAAAGGTTTGAGTGCAAGTCCTTTAGGAGGAACCCGCGTAACATGTCGGAAATCATGCTCTGTTGTTTGAAATGTCTTAAGGGTCGCTGTTGATGCATTATCATGAAAAGTTGTGGACACTCGTGGTGAATGGGTTATTGAATAGTATAACATTTCTTTATCTTCCAGAGAAGAACTTGTGATATATGTTTTTGTTGATATGATGATTTCCTGAACTATGCACGTTTTCTGTTTCTTTCACCAAGTTAATGATGAAAGGCCGTCTTCCAATACTCGACTTTGTCTCCATTTCAGGCTTCATGTCCAAAAATCAATCAGTGATTGTGGGCCTAAAGTGGTCAAATTGAATTAAAAGTACTGTAATATTTTGCTCTTTCACATTTTATTTGATGTTCCTTTGGCACATTCGTACTTACTATTTAGCTAACCACTTCAGAGTTAGGCGGTAAAACACCGATGATCCTAAGACTGAGACGAAGTTCAGTATTGGAAAACAGCCAAAATGTACGGCGGGCGAGCATTTGAGCTTTGGTAGTTAGGTTTGATCAATGATCACAAAAATATGTCTCTAGGGTAGCATGTTAAGGTTGCGGATGGATTCTGGTGCCCGCAAAATTTCAAGTGCGTAAACTTGTTAAGACAATTCGTAGCTTACACCTGTCTCCATTTATCTCCGGCATGTCTCCCTTTTGTGTCCACAGCTACGACTTCTTCCTTGTCAGTCAGTCTGTACGGCAGGGTACAGTCACCCCAACAAGCTACAATGTGATCTGGGACGTCTCGGGTCTGGCACCAGACCACATACAAAGCCTGACCTACAAGTTGACCCACCTCTATTTTAATTGGCCGGTAAAGACTAAAGAAATTGTATCTATTGTTATCCAACATAGACACTTTGATTTGTTATGGCAAAATAAAAGAAATGGTTTTTCCCATAACTCTTGAAAGACTTAACATATATTTCAAACTTTAATAATGCATGGGTTGGTCTATTGATTTGGGGCTTAACCGCTTGCCGCTGGGGTTCCCGGTACCGGAGACCTTGGCTCTCAATTCATGGCTGGGGTGCCCGAAATCGGAACTTTCTTGGCCTTTATTTATGGCCAGGGTGACTGAACTCTGAAAATACTTTAACATAAGACTGAGCTACTGGGACTTTCCAATCCAGGTTCATATGCTGTCAGCGCAGAGTGCTGGCCATTAATGGAGTAATCTGTCATTGTTTTGAAAGAGTAGCATTGTTTGCTACTGCCAGCGCCCGCTGATTATCAGTGGGGAAAAAATGCTCCAGCTATGACTGATACAATACCGCTGCGTACTCGAGGAATCTGGCCGCATGTCAAAGAGGAAATTACACAACAGCGCGCACTGGGGGCTCTCTACTGGGCTGCAGGCATTGCTGCAATACTCAAGCGTCACTGGAGGTTGCCTGTCAGACAAGACTTCGCCACAAGACAGTCATTTGTTTGGGTGCACGCGTCCAATAAATGAAGATATAAATTTTTGAAGAATTTTGAAACCAGAAAATCAGGAAAATTCACCCGGCAAAAGGTCATGCTTGCTGCTAAAACTCCACCCGGCATGAAGTGGTTAATGCATCACAATTCAAGGTCATTGTTATAATACAGTCTAAATGGTTTTCTCAATTTTGTTAACACAATAGGCTGAGTCTATTTGAATAATTCACTATTCGAATAGTCGACCTTCAATTTGATCGAATATCCGAATATTCAGTAGTACTAACCGGCAGATTGTTGATGAGCAAACCATATATAAAATTTGTGGCAATAACACACACAATTGTGTATTATGATCAATGTAATACATCAGCTTCTCACATCTAGGAGTATCTCCAGCCACGATTTAGCAAGAATTAAGAGATGAACAAGACTTTTATAGCCCCGTCGAAAATTTCTATTCCCTTTTAAATTGTGTAATTGATAATTTACTTTTTAAATCCTTGTAAGATTTCTGACACTTTTCATTTGAATCTGCTTGAAACAAGTCTCCATAGTGCAATTTGTCTCATTTAAAACAAAAGAAAATTTTCCCTTCCTGATCATGAATTTTGCATTCGAATATTCAAATTCGAAAAATAATATTCAAATATTCACAAACAATCGAATATTCAGTTATTTGAATATTTGGCACAGCCCTAAAACACAAATTAATGTCATGGCTTTAGGCATGGGCCTAGCAGCGCCTTTGTGTTTGTGAACACATCATTCTTGTTTTTTTTTGTACAGGGAACCATTCGTGTACCGGCCCCCTGCCTCTACGCTCACAAGCTGGCTTTCCTAGTAGGCCAGAGCCTACACCGGGAGCCACGCATCGAATTGGCCGACCGATTGTTCTTCTTGTAAGAGATCACTGCCGTTAAGATGCAAATTCCATCCCCATTTAGCCAAAGTATTTATTGCCGCTCTTACTGCTGATGCTGATGCACTTGTTTTGATCTTTAATGACCCACAACGCGCTTCATTTTAAGCATGCATAGTTCACATACAGTATTGACTCATTCAGTGAGCTAAACTTTAATTTGACCAAAAGTTTTAGAGGGCTTGGCATTTTGAACCAAGCACCAAAAGTAAAGTGGCAAGGAAACAGTGACAAACAAGCAAGCATGCATTGATGAAAAGAGTAGAAATGGGGAGGGAAGGGAGCGGGTGATGCAGGTGGCCAAAGGGGGGGTTTGGAACAGAGTGAAGGGGTCATTACCGGTGGGGAAAATGAACAGTATGGAGGTAGTCAGATAGGAAAAGATCAAAGAATAAGCACAGTAGTGGGTGATGGACCCCAAAGGTGCAGATTATCTGCAGTGACAAACGTAGGAAAGAAACGGTGACTTGGTTGCTCTCATGCTAAGGGTTAACCCCTTGACGAGGGGAATTTCTTCACGAAAGCCAACTCCAAGAATTCCAGCCTCACTTGGCCGTGAAGGCCACCTGCCAAACCGCAAATTCTCGGTTTGTGGCCTGCGTGCTCTGCACGCTTTGATTTACACAGTGAAAAGGCTGATTGTTCGGTGGCATGCGGCTCTACTCACGCTTCCACGTTCCCGTTGCTTCTTTTCAAAGTGGGGACTATTGTGAAGCTGGTGATTATGATGCAGATTCGGTCTTTTCATTTCTGGGCTACACACAAACACTAATTACCATATATACAAGAGCCAGGGTCTGCCTTCTTTCACCGTGTTCACTCGAGCGTGGGCCAAGAATAATAGCTGAAAAGCGGGTTGAGGATCTCAATCTTTACGGCGGCTCTATCAGCTTCCCAACGCGAAGGGGTTAAGGTAATGGGTGTTGAACCTCAATTAAATGAAGGTTAAATGTGCTGTCTCTGCTTCCAATTCAGAGATTAAAAGTTAATAATTTTGCTTTTGGTTGCATAAGAGATTCATAACGGAAAGTCCTGATTTAATTTTTAATAAATCAGTAATTCAATTTGACATTTTTTATTACTGTGGGCAGTTGCATGAAATAGAAGTGTGAATCAAAACTTGCTATTCATGTACTTGCAGTTTCGGATTTTTGTTAAGAATTTAGTGCTCAAAAACTTTGCAGAGTAGGTTTGGTTGAATTGATTTTTTCCATTTCAGTAATATGAATGGATTATAAAGATGGACAGGATAATTTTGAAAATGGAAACAAAAATGGTTGTGCTTATTATCTTGTGACTGCAAGCCAGTAAATGGCTCCAAATTGCCTAAGCCGACCTTATGGCAATCTAGTTTCTCTCATGATAGGGACTCTGTAGCTCAGCATTGGTGAAATCTCAGAATACACTCACACACCGTTGGACAGTGGTTAATCAAGCCTTAGTGTATGTATTGATCATGTTGGAGGTGTGTGGAGGCATGTGGTGTAGTGGTCAGGGTTTGTAACTCCCGAACATAGGGTCATGGGTTTGAATCCAGCAGTTGCTTGTATGCATCTTGTGACCTTGGGCAGGTCACTGTACTGCCACATGTTTTGTTCCGGTCTCCACCCAGTAGTATGACTGGCACCTGTGAGGGCAGAGATGATTATTTTGTTGTGATGAAGCGGATGGGGCCTGAAATGAAATGTATACTCCCCACGAGGGCGAGGTGGTTTGGGGCATATAATTATGGCCCAGGTGAGCAAGGGTGATAATTTAAGGGAATACAATGTGCGTGGCAGATCTTAAACGTGCGTTTTAGACCGGCTCATGAGAATGGACGCGACTAATTATCATCGTTTGTTCTCCTGAGCAAGCTTCTTGAACGTTAGTTGAAGACTGGCTAAGCATTTATTCGCATTCCTAAATATCTTTTAGGGGGTCAAAAGAAGTCCACATATTCCACCGATTTTTTTCTAAACTGTTGCTTTCATTTTCCCGAACACCCCTTCCATTTTATGGTATATTCCTTTTGAAAATTGTCCAGTGAACTTGGCACGCATCGCGGGTGCACAGACTCCTGACCAATTAGACCCAATTAAACTCTCCCGTATCCATTAATGCTCGTATCCATGTGCCAGCGCTTGATTTAAGCAGCGGGCTGTTAGCCCTTCTCAGCGGGCATAATTATATTGTCAAATGTCAATACCCTGTCGCGTGACGCGTTTCAACCAATAGGAATAGAAAAACTATCTCAGGTATTTATGAATGACAGGTGTATGTGCTATAAAGTCAGTATTGTTATTAGTTGTCAGAAGATCATTTGAATGACAATTTTCATTTTTTAGGTTGCGGTTTATTTACCTACCTTACCTGCCTGCAGATTCTTTCTTCCAGTGCCTTGTTGAAACGTTGCTGTGTCTATGATGCCCTGTCCTCTTTGCAAGCAGACTATAAGGTGGTGGGGCAGTTGACAATGAAAGTTTCGAAACACCAGTTGTTACAGAGTCAGGCGTTTAAACGTGTTTTTACAAACCTCTTTTGCGCATGTTTGTTACCAAGGTGTAAGGATACACGTATGTTGATAAAGTATTTGTCATGCATGATGTCGATTTTATTTCTGTCAGACATTCTGTCTTTTATACTTGTACATTTTCCTTATCAAAACCTGTGTGGAAAAATGAAAAATTATACTGCCACTTTTTAAGCATGTCAATCTGTGAAACACGTACAGTGTACATCAGCAAGGACACTTATTTTACTGTTTTGGGCTGAAGTAATCATTTTACTATGTAAATTGTATTTATGATTAAATTTCAATGAAATTGTGGAAACAATCTTGAAGTGCATTTTCGTGTAATGTGAAAGTGTGAATCCGGGTGAAACTGAGTGTGGGACCGCTAGCGTCACGGGTCTTTTCAAGCTTTAAATATCAAAATTTCACTCTGGGATCGGTCGTGGCATTAAGCTACACCGGCTAAGATGAAAGTATGGGACCACCAGCCAGATATATCGGGGGCCAATGTGCATGATTGTGGGGGTGACGTTAACAGAGCGACCATCGATCCACCAATAGCAGACGCGAGGAAACTAGCCATCAAGAAACCATAAGAAGTGTAGAGTGTCGAGGACACAGAACGTAACAAAAAACAGACAGGCAAAAACAAACTAGATAGAGGGAAGTGTTTGTGCAATGAACGAACGCTTGATATGGAAATCTTTCAATTGTAGTTTTAATGTAGTTTGGTAAAGTGTGATCATACGGTGCCCCTGCTGAAAATAGACTCATAACAAAGAAATAATCTGTAACCCCACACCAACAGTGTCGGAACAATTTTCAAAGTGGGGACAAGGGCGGATCCAGGGGCACCCCCCCAACAAAAATTAGGATTTTGTTTAAAACAGAGTTAAAATAGTGCATAAATGAAGGCTTTTTTGTTTAGAAGGAGCTAATTCGTTCAGGAAATTGTTTCTGAGCAGATGCGTATGTGATGGTGCAATCAGTTACTGCAAAAGTGCATGCGCCGGGGACGCTGCTTTCTTGTTTTGCCCCCCCCCAAAAAAAAAACCCGGCCATGAGTGGGGAAGGAAGTCATTTGTGAAACCATCTGGCATCAGCCAGGACCTGCCAAAAGTGTTTGGGAGGGATTACCCCGGCGGAAAAAGCGCGGCTGCCTGCTCCCCCCCCCTCGCCATTCCGCCAACAGCGACCGCCACTTTCAAACACATTTTTGTGCATAATAGCACAAGAAAGAAGTCAAGAACTTTACCTTGCAGTGGTGCCCTTCATCGACTATTTATCCTCACTCCTATCTTGCTGCTTATTGATGATTGTTTTGGAGTGCACGAAATGCTTCTGAGCACACAATTAGGCTATTTCGAGTGCAAGAAATTATTTCGTGAGCATTCTGAATTTCTTGAAAGATGCCAACGGCAGTTTTTCTTTATCCTCCTGATCTTGCCTCGTGTTGAATAAATATCCTCATTACATCTCTTGTAACTGGTGTTGCTTGCTTTTCTGCTGATAGGCCTATTTCTGCCTTCTTTTTGCGCAAGGGGTCGTGTCTTCGATACTTCAGGGTCGAGTTGTCTCAGTGTTTATGCAAGGCAGAATGCTGGTGACTGAGTGTTCATGACGCACGCCTATGGATACAGTCCACTAATTCAAGCCCCGTTGAAAACAGTGTAAAATCATCACTGTTCAGGGCCCAATAGCATGCACGCCAACATCCCTGAGATTTCTGAAACACAAGTTAAATTCTTGTCTGGTCACTTATCTTTCAATTTCTTTTCATTTTTTTGTGGGTTAACCAATTACATTTTAAATTATTCCCACAAAGCAAAATCACCCCCCAAAAAGTGATTTTTCCGAAGTCTGATTGCAGCCGTTTTTCAAGTGGCAACCTTCAACTTTGTGGGGCACTTAGGACCATTTTTAACCGTAGTTTTTAGCCGCCTGCTCTCATAAGAAAGCTGAAAGACCCAGGGAGTTGATCCCGGCAACGATTTACACGATCTCACCATTTGGAGGCCAAACAATCTCCTTTTTCAAAAGATACTGCCGGGGGCACTTCTAATGCTAATGAGCTGGCCAGAAATTTTCACTTAAATTAGTGGTCTGCACCCCTGTGTACATGGACTTAAGCGCTTAGCTACTGCCCTCTAGAATTTTCTGCCATACAGCGAGTTGGTAATTTCGATACTCGTGATCGTGTATAGTTTGGCCAGGTTCATTTTTGCCAGTTTTGTATGCCAGTTTGTTACCTTTGGAAATATAAGGCTTGGTAAACTGCACCTTGCCAAAGATTTTCAGTCGCGGTGATAATGTTAGGTATATTGTGGTAGTGGTGCGGATGGCGTCGATTTGGATTGTCGGGACTGGTCCATGCGTAGCTCGATGTCTCAAACTATGCCTACATTGAAGTTAGGGTGCTTGTGTGGAAAACATAGCCCTTCGGTATTTCTGGTCAGCCGACCTTTCCAAATGTTTCAGTGCCCTTTCTTTAATCGAAAGCGTTAGTCCCTAGCCTACTTAAAATGTCCAATTTATTTACCTATTGAGACCAGTTCACTTACCCATTGGGTCCATTTCACTTACTAATTCAATAACCAATTCCCGAACCAATTGCTTTTGCATGGAATCAATTGGGTTCAATTGGTTTGAAATGTGAATTCGGACCTTTTCTCAGCTGGACCATTTCAAACCAGTTGACACCATTTGAATGCCAAGTTCACAATCCCGGGCCAATTGTAACCAACCGAAGAACCATTACTGAAACCATCAAACCAGCATAAGTCCCATTTGAAAAATCCATTTGATGGGGGAAACAAGCTGAAAGCAAACCAATTGGAACCAGTTGCGTCCCATTTGAAATTGCCAACTGATCGAAGAAAACAGAGAGAAAGCATACCAATTGGAATTATTTGATTCCCATTTGAAATTCCAATCGATTGGGGAAAATAAACAGCAAAGAAAAATGCCAATTAAAAACCAATTGCATCCCATTTGAAATCTCCAACTGATGGGGGAAACACGTGGGAGAGAAAACATACCAACTGAAACCAATTGAGCACAATTGACTACCA